TGGTGTGGGAGGTGGGTGGTGATTCTTTGCTTGTTTTGTGATACGTCTCTACTTGTTTTTCTTTCTAAAGCTTCACTTTGGCATGCCTGCTTGTTTGTTTGTTGCTATTTTTATAAGAATGCCTGATATAGAAGTTACAGATTAATTCTCAGTTATATGGACTGATTTTTATTCTGAATCTGCATCTGTGGGAGAAATAAACTTGAAACAACTGGTGTGGGATTGAGAATGAGCATAGAAACTGAGAATCCAGATTCGTATCCAGCTGGGTCTGTGTGTGTGTTTGTCTGAAAATTGCATAAAAGTGAGATTATTATCCCCGTATTTTAATCCTTCAAAAGGATTGAAGTTTGTATACAAATCTCAAATAGATATCAAATCAGATTTGTGATTTTGTCTCAGTTTGATTTCACTCCTTTTGTTTTTACGCCGTATCAAACACACCGCATCACATTTATACCATTTCTAGCATAAACCTCGCATGGCTAATATGTCTTGTTGTGTGCACTGTTTCATGTGGAGATGTAGTTTCTTTGTAATGCCTGAATTCATTTGTGTGTTACCTCCAACCTATCCATGCTCTGCTGTGCTGTCTGACGCCAGGTGACCATAGCCTGTGATGCAGTACTTAACGCACCTTCAGCTTACAAGAAACAGGAGCCTGAGTCTTGGGACGAGGAGATCCAGGTGTCAAGACATGCCAGAAGCCTCAGACAGCTGGATAACGGCGTCCGGATCCCACCCAGGTACACCTAACATAGTGCAATCATGTGCAAATCAGTAAATGCTGTATATTCTCAATTAGAAATTGATGTTATTAACACATTTTACAACTTTTGTGGAAAAAAAAAATATATTAACTGGCAAAGCTTTATTTTGAAAATGTTCTGTTTTAATCGGTGCACAAAGATCATTTGCATAAAGATGATTATAGTAAAGGTTTTGGAAGTTTTGGAGTCAAACTTCTTATCTTTATTAATTATAGGATGACTGCTCTTCTTGCTCGGTCATAAAATACATCAAACTTCAGTATGTTGCACTGCTGAAGAATTGTTATAAAACGAGTCAGAGCTAAACATGTGCACTCAGTTTAAAAGTGGAAGATAAAAACGTAACATTGTATTTTATTTATTATTGGATATTCTGGTCAATCTTTGTTTCTGAAAGAGTTGAGCAAATTTTTGTTAGCTCGGTGTTTGCTGCTTATAAATAATCAATAAAGCTTATAGCCTAATGTTTCTGTGATAGTCTTTGTTTCTTAAAATAAAAAGCACATAACATTAACGAAAATCATTAAAAATTATATTTTTAAATATGTGTCCTTTATACATGGTATTGTATCTTAGTTTAGTGTTGTGAAAAGTATGAGAAAACAGTTGGTACTCTTGTATTTAGGTAAAAAGAAAGATTTAATTTGACAAAATATAAACATATTTCAAGACAGAGTAGTTTCATGTTCTGATTATAGTGTAGCTGCAGCTTTTAAGATGTATGACTTCATAGGAATCACTAGAAGAACAGCTGTCAAGTTTTTATGAAAGCTGACGAGATTGTTAGATGATTTTTGTTTCTGTGTTTTTGCTGTCAGTGGCTGGAAGTGTCAGAAATGCGAGATGAGAGAGAACCTGTGGCTGAACCTGACTGACGGATCGGTTCTTTGTGGGAAGTGGTTTTTTGATGGGAGCGGGGGGAACGGCCACGCTCTGGAGCACTACAGAGAGACCAGCTACCCATTGGCTGTTAAACTGGACACCATCACTCCAGACGGAGCAGGTCTGGGAAACAACACAACACAACCAGTGTCTACGGTGTATGATATGTGGTCTTACAGTGTGTCTTATACCCCAAAACTATCACTACTTTGTAAAATATACACTGTACAACATTTATAAGCTGCCAGAATCAAATTACTGGGTAGATTTTTTTTATTTTATTTTTTTTACCAGCTAGATTTATCATAATACAGTCATCTTATAAAGCTGCAAATCTTGTTGTTTGAGAATGTTTTGCATAACAGGGATGCAAACTTTTAAAAAGGTTTTTACAAGAATGCCCTTCAAAATGAATTAAATCCAGAATCTCTTGATTTGAAGGCCCCATGTTTTATTTATTTATTGCTTCCTTTTAGTTCAGTTCTACATTAGAAATATGTCTAATTGGTCTAAAACAACTGCAGTTTGGGCTGAAAACATCCTCTTTTCATAGCAGCACTTTGCTTGGATCCAATTTTATCCATTCCTCCACTGGACCTTAAACCTATATTTATAAGAGGCACATTGTCAGAACTGTTGTTGCGAAGTAGGTTTTCTTTTCCTTAAAAAGCTTATTTTATTTAAGTTTCAGCCATGAAACAAGAATACAATAAAAATTGTAATAAGACTACCCCTGCGACCTACACGCATGCATAAATAAACATTGCAAATCAAAGCCAAATAATGCGGCAGCTCATCGACAAAACATAATTTATGTATTTGAAACATCCAAGTGTTCTGCTCTGTCGTAGGTTTGTAATATTTTTTAAAAGAAGCTGTATTGTCATAAGTAGTCTTTTAGGCACACAGTTTGAAACTAAGGACTGGTAGCTGCACATTCAAATCCTGTTACAAATGTAAATTGTTTACAGTGTATTTTTAATTGTACAATAACCACTGTGGTATCTAATCTGAAGTGTCCCAGTAGGTTTAGTATTGGGCAATTATCGTATCTTTACCATGACAATAATAGTGATCTTTGCAATCCAGAGAACTGTGTGGTTGGGATTTTGATTATTTTTTTCTACACTGCTATGTGAACATCTATCTATTAGTATATTTAAAAATATGTCTACTGGCATTTATTGTGCTGTTTATTGATACATTAGGACATCACAATAAAATGTGCTAAGGTAGGCTTTTTGATAATGAGTATATTTTACTAGAAGCAGATTTTGTGTCTGTACGGCTATGGCTACATATTATTAATTTTAATTATTTTTTTATTGGTGATTTTGCCACAATGATTTACTCGCCTCTTTTTATTACAGATGTTTATTCGTTTGAGGAGGAAGAGGCTGTTTTGGACCCCCACATGTCAGAGCACTTGTCACACTTTGGGATAGACATGCTCCAGATGCAGAGGAGAGTAAGTGGACACATTTCACTTTTACATGAACCCGATCTAATTTGAAACAGCTGCAGTGTTTAAAGAAAATGTGTCAAAAATATATTTTATTTTTGAGCTATATCAGACGTTTTGATATAGCTACACAACACAACAAAGACAGTTCTTCACACAAGATCGTCCTTGTCATCTCCATCTCCTCCTATTTCAGACAGAAAATGGACACCACACAGACAATAACCCCCGACCGCGAGTCAGTGAGTGGGAAGTGATCCAAGAGTCGGGCATGAAGCTGAAGGCGGTGTTTGGTTCTGGTTACACTGGCATCAAAAACCTGGGAAACAGCTGCTACCTCAGCACAGTGCTACAGGTCCTGTTCAGCATCCCAGATTTCCAGAGGATGTGAGTGCTGTACGCTGCGACGCATTCATATTGTAGTGTTTTTTTTTTTTTTTTAACTACGGCTATCCCTGATGACATAACTCTTGACATACTCACACCGTTGATCATGCTAAACAAATCTTGAACCTTGACAGTCTTATCAACTAATAACATTTTTTATTGTAATTATGCTCATTTAGCAGATGGAAATCTTAAATTATTTTCATTAAACCAAGAAGTTTGTTTCTGATTGGGAACAAGGGTGGTATCTCTGTATATTTTGTGTTAAGTAGTTCTCTATACCAGTGTGTGGAATATTTGGTAGCTTAAACACACACGACTCCAACTACAAGCTCTCTGGTATCTGGTACGGGTGTGGTCCCTTACTATAACAAATTAAAAATTAAAAATGTGTTGTTGCCTTTTAGTACTTTCCTTCTTTGGCATTCCATGGTGTTACCCTGTTACCCTTTATAACTGGCAGTTATCAATGGACAGATCTTTTATTTTTATTTATTTATTTATTTTTAACTTACAGCAGTCAAACGCTTTGATCAGATTTTGCATGCAGTTGATGATTAACTCCAGGTCTTTATAGTTGAAAGGCCTCTGTAACATCACCCTAATCTTTAGCTTCCGCTGCAGATTCTATATCTGATCATGGTTTGACACTCGACACTTCGCTTGGCCGCTCCAAAACAAATTTGGCTGTCTATGATCATAGATGATAATTAAATAACTCGTTGACCAGCAGCGGGTCTTTTAAGCTCCTTGCATGTTTCTCTGGAGGCGACGTCTGTGTGTCACCTCACATATCAACCCTCATATGTTTTCTCTCTTAGGTATGTAGGTAACCTTCAGAGGATATTCGACTATTCACCTCTTGACCCCACCCAGGATTTCGCCACACAGATGTAAGTGACTCCTGAGATTTATGCAACGCAGTGACAGAAGAGAAGGTGTTTTCCAGCTCCCTCTGTCACTGTTATTGATATTTAAAAACAGAAGTTCATTAACAAATAACCTAAATTACACAAGCATAAATTGCATAATTTGTATGTTGTAGTACCTATTTATTTTATCTCTATTTTAATAAAATCATCACAATTTTGTAATTGAAGGCCATGTGTTGCAAGAGGCCAGATGCTGATGGGCATCAATAGCCTGACGGCAGCTATCAGACAGGCAGCCAAATAAACATGTTTATACCATAAGGCAAATAGTATTTGGCAATTTGAAAAAGTTGTTTACTTACTTTAATGTAATGGTTAAACCCAACCCATCTCTAGACGACAAGGATCCTCTAGTGTTTTTTTTAAAATACATTAATCTATTTATTGCTATGATTAGCTTTTATGACGAGAATCATTTGTCTGGTGGTACCCACTAAAGAAAAGGCACAGTTTACACAGATAATTATAGTGGAAAAATACTGTAAGTTTGCCTCATCCCCATTTTTTAACTTTGGTGTTGCCTGCAAAGGGGTATTTTGATTTAAGGTAATTATAGATATAGTTTTGGTTTTAATGTTGACGCTGATAAATCAAAATTTGGTTTATAATTTGCCCTATTTCATATTTCCACTGCCCCAACAGGAATCAGAGCAGCAATCAGTGGAACAAGGTGCAATATAAAACAAATGCATGTAATATGCTTGAGATATCAACATGTTTATAATTATTTATCTTCATAAATAAAAGGTTTGAACAATTATTTTCCCTCTGGTTTTGAATGTTGTGTGGCTGGAAAGATTTTTGTTCTTCATTTCTTACCTCCAGATAAGTTGTTATGGTGTGTAACCATGACAATGAGATGTTTTTTTTTTTTTTTTTCCCTTTGCAACTCGGAGCAACTGATCAGCATCTCAAAAGCTCAAAAAACACCTGAACTGCAACGCCGAAATCCCAGAGGAGTTGAAAAGGAGGCTTTCACTACACTTTCAGTTTGATTAGATGTGTTTTAAAAATCTCACAGATACAAAACTATTATGAAAACTAAAACTCATTTGTGCTGATGTTGACTGTAGTTTCCTGCAGAAACCGCATTTTTGTTTCACGTGAGAACTGCTGTATCTTCAGAGTGTGATGGGCAGGAAATGAAGCCAAATGAATGTGAAATGAGACTGACTCTGTTTTTCTGCCCGTTTTTGTCCATCAGGGCTAAACTGGGACACGGGCTCCTCTCAGGCCAGTACTCCAAACCACCCATGAAATCTGAGCTCATTGAACAGGTGATGAAAGAAGAACACAAGGTATTAAACGGGGTATGTCCTGCTCCATGACTGAGTGACCATGGCCGATGTTGAAAATGAGATGTGACGGAATCAGCGGTCATGGCTTTATAAAGCATTACAAAGTAATTTCCTTCTAATGAATGTAGCAGTTTCTTGATCTGAGAAGGATAAAGGAGCTGAAGTAATACATAGACTTTCTATGACCTCATGGCTTGTTTTTAGCCTGATTGCTCCCGGTTACTGACATGGCAAAGCTGTGATCCTGAACTTAAATGTGATGGAGGAGTCAAGTTTGGACACGTCTTGACAGCTGAGAGGAAACGGCAGTGGACCTGTGCTGACACGCTGTGCTCAGTTTGCACAGAGGGATTCTTGACCAGTGCAATCACGTATATATATCATTAACCTGGCTTTCTAAATTTATTGATGATGATGGGAAATTTTGACATGCTGAGATATGGTCTTGTTTGCTGTGAGAATGAATGTCAGGGTCAGGGTTCAATGCCCCAAGAACTGGTTTGTGACTTTGAAAGCCCAGATTTCAGTGTGTTTCATGTGATAAACCAGTGTAAAATTAAGTGAAGGACAAAGGAAGTATATTTCCTTACTTGTTTTTACAAATAAAAATCTGAAAAGTGTGGAATCTGTCTGACACCCCAGCCGATGCCTTCAGGAGGCACCTAATTAGTAAACAGAATCTAGCTGTGAGTAATTTAACTTTAAATCTGCAGCAACATTATAAGTGCAAATTAAATGTATTTGTTTAATTCTGTTCAGAAAATATATACTGTATAAATGTAACCCACTTGAGTAGCAGAAGAACTCTCTCACCACATTAGAAGACAAGTGAACCATCTGTCCAGTAACATTATCAGGCTGATAATTCAAACTTTTACCCTTTTTAATGTGGTGAAAGAAATATTTAAGGATTATTATGCAGGCTGATAAACAAATATAAGTTTGAGCTAAATGTTCACTTTTAAGGCTGCGATTGAATACTTGCATCCGGTCACATTTTCTTAGTGGTGAATGCATCCAAAACTATAATTTTAGTTGCCACAAAAACGTTTCTGGCACCTTGTCCAGACTTTATGCTTCATTTCAGAACAGTTTAACCAAATTATTATTATTATTTTTAGCTCGTTTTAGTGTCATACTTTCGCCTTTGAGTAAGGTGACTTCTCATGAACAGTCGGTGTGCGTGACTCTTTCAATATTTTGTTTTTTGTCATGCAGCACCAACAGAGGGGAATCTCTCCCCGAATGCTCAAGGCACTGGTCAGCAGGGGGCACCCAGAGTTTTCCTCCAACAGACAACAAGATGCCCATGAGTTCTTCCTGCACCTTATCAACTTGGTGGAAGTAAGTGAATCAGTGCCTTCTGCATATATAGGATATACAGTGTGTTTGCAGTCATATACCAGCTAACTTCCTGTCCGTCGCTGAAGAGGACAAACTGAACAAAGCATTACCAGAAACTGCCACTGGAGTGACGCCACAAAGAGGTTTTGATGCAAAATTATGTTTGAGCTGTTGCAAGCAGATCACTATGAACAGTTCATAATATATAGTCAGCCACATACACTATTTTCTTTTTCCATTTCATTCTTTTCACAAATTGAACAAAAAACATGCTTCCTTTTGAAAAGGTTGTTCAACGAAACTTTGTTGCGATGTTTCAAACCTTGCCTGGTTCTAACAAAAGAGTTCAGAACCTCCATGGTCGGCTCATACATGCAGTATAAAAATCTTTAAATGAGTTTTTCTCATACAGGGTTTATTTATGTTCAGTGATATAAGTTACATGTAGTGGTGAGACAATGCTTTCTTAAATATCCTGGTTATCAGACATAATCAAGCCCCCAAGAAGAACCTGACACTTCTATCCTGTTTGAATTAATTAAATTCAACTTCTTTCTCCCTAAACATCCTCATGTTGTCTGAGTATATGCAGAACTTCTTAAACAATTCCTAAACTCTCCTTTTAATCCAGTTGCTGATATTTTTTGAAGCCGTCTGTAAACGACTCCCTGGTTTATGCAGGCAGATAACCAAACTAAAGCCACAACCATCAGTCACCCTACAAGCTGGGCCTGGGTGAAATTATAGCTTGTGTATTTCTGTAGCTTCTTAGAATAGAAGGCTTGCATTGGCAATAGTCCACAGCCATGCAGACTGGTTTCCCTTTCATACAACCCTCAAATAAAACCCCCGGTGACCCCAGCCTGTGTTGGCCCTGGAGACCTGAGCAGCTCCAGGGAAAATAATTAATGTGGTGGTGTTTCTAAAAAGATGCAAGTCTGTCAATTTAAAGATAAATTTGAGATTAAGTGACATTGCTCTGTGATCTAAGTACAGTAGACTACAGTATTTACATGCACATCTAAAACACCTGCATGTTTTAGATGTTCCCCTGGTCCAGCACAGTAGAAATATCAGTTACCTCTTCAGCATGTGATTTGTCTGAGGAGGCCTGGTAATAAACTATTCAGCTGATTCAGGTGTGTTGAACAAGGAGTTGTTCCCTCTCAACTGTGGCCAGACTTGTAGTGCATAATAATTATAGTAATTTCTATGTCTGAGATGGAGCATTACATGAAAATTGAATTAAACCAAAAGGAGCAGAAGGGTGATGTTACGTGTTGTAATAGCAAAGTTTCTTGCTAAAATTTAACTTCACACTGTGAACAGGAGGATGGATTCCATTTTTTTTTTATAATCTTGAGACAAACATTGTTTTTTTGGTGGATGAGCAGAAATATGTTCTCCCTACCTGTGTGGGAGTTCACACACATTTTCTGGATGGTGTTAAAGTGCTCACCTTTTGTTTCAGAGAACTGTGGTTTACAATTGAAAGCCCAATAATGACTTATGTTTTATTCCTTTTAAGATTTTTAAATTTTCTGTCTTTATATAATTTGTGCTCTCTAATCTGCTGGTTTTGTAATCTTCTATCACGACTGGAAAAAGTTCAGCTTATTAGCTTTCACATATTAGTAAAACTTTGTCTCACTGGGTTTATATTTTCTTTCTCGATTTGTTTTGTTCAGAGAAACAGTGCTGGTTCAGAGAATCCAAGCGACTCGTTTCGTTTCTTGGTGGAGGAGAGAGTTCAGTGCTGTCAGAGTCGGCGGGTTCGTTACGCTCAGCGGGTCGACTACTGCATCCAGCTACCGGCTCCCATAGAAGCAGCGACGAATAGAGGTACAGACGGTGGCTGTTATTGCATCAATGAGCCCTTCCATCAAATTTCATTTGGGTTTTCAAAAATAAGCAAAAGGGAATGATTGGTCTTGGTTTGAACTGCCTATGCAATTCATTACTCACAGTATACTCGAAAATTGATGTCATAAACCAAAGATGTATTCTAGGATATAAATTTGAAGAATCTCACAGCAGAAGGGTCTATACAAAGTCTTACAGACATGCACCTTCACACGCACATGCAGGATTGAGAGATCTTTGGTTCTGAATTGAGGGGGAAATTTATGTGCCGTTTTATGTTACTAACTTCATATTTCCACTGTGATAACGGATTTTGTTTTACAATATTTGAAGCTCTGTGTATATGTTGTGTTTGCTAACAATTCCTCTCACTTGGATCTCTGATTTTTTTTTTTTTTCCAGAGGAGTTGCTTGCATATGAGGCCAAGCGGAAAGAAGCTGAGGAGAACACGCGGGCTCCTCCTGAACCGGTGCGAGCACGGATCCCTTTCACAGCCTGCCTTCAGGCCTTTACGGAGCCTGAAAACGTCCCCGATTTCTGGAGTTCAGCGTTGCAGGCCAAGTCAGCTGGAGTCAAGTAATCAGACATGCACCTGATGAAATCACTTCATTATTGTCTCTTTCGTTTACTGCTTGTTTTTAAGCCAAATCTTTTTAAACATTCATTCCCAGAACTTCCCGCTTCGCCTCGTTCCCAGAGTATCTTGTTGTGCAGATCAAGAAATTCACCTTCGGTGTTGACTGGGTGCCAAAGAAGCTTGGTAATTAAATTATAGCCTTGTAGCGATTAATGGGAGCTGAAACTGAGATTCCTTAAGTGCTGTAATACTAAAAATAACCAGCAGAGGGCAGCACCAAACTGCATTTCGCAAAGCGTTGATGCGTCTGTCAAACTAATGCAAATTCATAAATAATTCACCTGCAGTTTGAAGATAAACAATTTTTTTCATCATCCATATTTAGCAACACTGTTGAAAGCATAAATTTTTATTATAGACACAGACATGTTTGTTATATACGACTTGCCAAGCGTAGTTGCTAATGAATCTCCTCAGCTGACAGCAGTGTGCATGTTCGGTGTTACAGACCTGGCCATCGATGTTCCAGACTTCTTGGACCTGAGCCGGCTCCGAGCCACAGGGCTGCAGGCGGGCGAAGAGGAGCTGCCGGATCTCATGCCTCCCATTGTTTTACCGGAAGACACCAGAGGTATGACAATATGGCTAAGAGGTTTTACTCTGTTTCGAGCTAAAGAAACAATAAATGCAAACTCTAGTATTTGGTTCTGGCTCAGTTAAAACCTTCTCACCAAGAAACAAGTAAGATTAAGTAAATAATCAAGGATACAAATATAATTCTGGATAATTCACATGCTTTTTTTTTTTTTTGGTAAAATACTTAAGTTGTAGTGGATAAAATGTTGAAAAACAGAAAAATGATTTCAGTCAGATTAGATTTGGGGTAATATTTATTTTAGACTTAGCTATTTTTACTATCTTCAGAGAAAAAGAATGCCAACATAGCCCCGCTGTGTTACAGAGAGTATTACTGAAAAAATATGCATTTTAGAAAAATATATCCTTATTTATTCATCCAGACCACAGTTTGACATTTTGGAAACTTCTGTAAAGCAAGCAGAGTATGGTTTTGCAAAGTATGAGTTAAAAACATTTGCAAGGTGTTTTCTTCAATGTTTTATTGTTACTAATGTTATAATAAGAACATTGTAACATCAATGATAGGATGATAGAAATCATTATTTCTATCATTCTCTTATATTTACATTTAACAGAATGTAAATGTAAATATTTGAACATGCAATTGGCGATTTAACAGTCTGCTTAAAAGTTTTAAACTGAGCGATAAAAAAAAAAATACATAACTCTTTGTGTTCAAGTTTATGCATGTCCTACGATGTACCGGTTTTTAGCGGAGCAGAGTTGTGGAATAGTAGTCCATTTTTCTCAGCTTCACTTCACAGACAGGGGTCTCCCATTATTTACAAGCGGTGGCCCACTGCAGCGTCGGCGGTGATGCGTTAACTCGTTGAAGAAAATGCTAAATGGCACTCTTTACAACTTGGGGCATTTTTGGCCCTGCATTTTCAATTTCACAGTCCTGTTCGTGTTGTTAAAGGGCAGCGTTCTCCCTGAGCGCCTGCGCTTCTGTTTCGCCAAACCTGTTTTTGTGGCTTTGTTGAGTCGCAAGTTGCGACTTTTTTTTTTTTTTTTTTTTTCCCCAACAAAGTCACAACTTCCAGTTGTTTTGAGAAGAAACTTCAATGAGAGTTGTTCAAAGCAGATACCATAGACTCTTCATGTGGAGTATTTCTCGAACCCAGTCATCTGTGAAATTGTCTTCAGTTTGATATTCTGCTCAAAGCTACCCCAGTTCTCTCTTAAGTACTCATTCAATGAGAATCTCAGGGGAGGGAAATGCTCAGTCAATTAAGGTTGTTGTGCTGCAGTCGTGTTTATTTCATGTGAGACTTTTGTAATGTACATCACTGGGCTATTGGAGAACAGACACTGAAATATGCTGCTATGTTTTGGAGGAAATGCTGGTTCCACTTTTCTAGAAACGTTGCTTAGCCAGACTTTTACTTTGTGAGTCTTAATTTCATCTGTTTTTCTGTCTTTGTTCAGTCCACATCCTGTTGAAAAGTTAATCTACTTGAAATTGTTGGTGTGTTCCTCATATTTTAGAAGAAATACGGCAGATAGATGGAGAGCTGACGACAACACTTGCAGTAGCTCATAGAAAGAACAAAACCAGGATATTTAAAATAATTATTTAGGCTACTCCATCACAAAAAAAAGACAAATTTGAGTGGGCCTAAATCTTTCAGTACTGAACAGCTTGTACTGAACACACTGAATTGGACTCAGAATCTATTAAATATATCTACTTTGGTCATTATGTATGGGCACAAAACTGTGGCAAAAATGTTCTTCTTAATCATGGTTTCTAATGTTGTAAAATGTCTAAGAAAAGAAAAGGTATCCTTCTTTTAGGATCTAGTTTTGGGCATTTTTTGGAACACCTAATTGCAGATTCACTGCCATGAATACTTAAACCTATTTATTAGTTGCTTTCTCCAAAGAAAGTTGGATAATTTTTTCCCCTTCACAAATTAAAGTGGTTTGAACCAGGCTTTATGTTTTTAAACAGATTATGATTGTCTAAACTAGTTTGATCTGAAATATATTTATGACAAAAACAGAAGAAATTAATACCTTATTCACAGCTCTGTGCAAACAGAATGTGTATAAAAGCCATCACATGTATAAGTGCACATTTTGGCTTATGCATTGCACTGATTGTGACCAATCAAAGTGTTCAAAAAGAAAATATGTACATTTGCATAAACAACAATTTCTACCAAGCTGGATTTAAAAACACAAAATACTTTTAGCCTTAATTTTTACCAATATTTATATGCCCTTTACTTGCTTCACATTGAGCAGATTTACAATTCAATGGATGCATATTCAGAAACGAGTCTCGCAATTTGACAACAGGACCACAAACACGGTGACCACACTTATAAAACATTTTTCTCATTTGATTAAGTTTTTTTCAACGTTACTTTCTCTGCGTTTTCTGCTCAGATGTGTTTATGCAAGGTTACAATAACATTCTTCTTGTATTTAATCTGATTAAAACCGTGAAATGAAAAGAGGTCGGAGCAAATAACTTGCTGTTTCTGAATGTGCTCCTATATTTGCTTATTTCATATTAATATCTTGAATTTTTATTTGCTGCCAATGAATGATTGGTCACCCTTTTGTCTCCAAATGCATCGATGCTTCGCACTGATTACACCCACAAATGTGTTTTCTTGTAGCCTGACTGAACCACAATATTGCTCATCAGTCTATTAATCAGTTGTGTGCTAAAATATTTCAGACCATTTGGGGGGACAAAAAGAGAAATTAGTTGTTTTGCTTCAATATTTTTTGTTTTAATACATCAAACTAATGGAAGCACACACTTAAGATATTGATTTCTGAGTTCACCTTTTCTTTTTTTTTGCATTTAAATATGAAAATAAGCCACATAAAATAAGTTATTTTATTTCAGTAATTTAGTTTCAAAAAATGAAACTCCATATGTGATTAAATAGATTTATTATTTTTAAGTGTTTATTGTGATAGTGTAATCATTATTTTCATCTAACAAAAACCTAAAATTCTGTTTCTTTAAATGTTACGCTTTTGACCAAGAACATTGGTTAAAAATAGAAAATCCATGTAGAAATTTTGCATTATGGTCACGTGAAGGGCCACGTAGTTATTGGAAAGTCTGCCAGCTTAAGTTATCAACACCTGTCAAAAGTCACAAAAGGTAATTGCTAAAGAAACTTGGCTGTTCAGAGTGATGCATGTTAGGATATTAATGGAAAGCTGAGTGAATGAAAAAATGGAAAGAGCTACAAAAGCATAAATGTTAACCACGGCCTTGAGAGGATTTTGAAGCAAAGTCCTTTGAAAAGTTTGGGAGAAGATTAAAGTAATGTGGACTACAGCTGAAGTTCTGCCTGAGCTAAGAGGAAAAAGGCACTTGAAAGTACATTTTTTTATTTCACTGCAAAAGGTCTGAGAGCCTGGAGGAAGAGCGGAGAGGCACATAAGACGAGCTGTTTCAGATCCAGAGTGAGGTTTCTACATCCATTCATGATTCAGGGAGCCATCTGATGTGCTGGCGCTGGTCCACTGGGTTTTTTTTCAAAGTCAGCAGAACAATCAACCAAGGCACTCTAGAGCACTTCTGCATCTCCATAAGGCTTTTTAGAAGAGAACATGAGTTCATTTTCCAGGAGGACCAGCCAGTACATGCTAAAGGTACCAATGCCTGTTCTGATGACCATCAGCAGAGTTAGCTGCCTTGAGCTAAACCTCAGGGAATCTATGCAGGAGATGAGTTGAAGAACCTGTTATTCCTTAGGTGCCTAAAAACTATTGAGTGCATGTACTTTATTGTACAAATGACTGTCAATGTAAATACTTTCTCTGGAGTGAATGAGCACAAATCACACGAAATAATGCAGGGACTGCTTTGTGCAGCCGAAGCATTGCATCAGAATTTGAGCATATTTGCTTCTCATCACAAAATGCTTTGGTTTTCTTGGTTTTTGGAAATAATATTTTGATTAAAAATCACCTCAGCTTAAAATTGGGCGGCTGCTCAAGTTCGTTTAATGAGTTTTGTGTGTTTGCAGTAACTCTCACTAACATGCTCCTTTTAGCTTCCGTACAGGTAGCCTTGTTCACTGCAAAAACACAACATCTTACCAAATAAATTTGGTGTAGTTTCTAGTAAAAATATGTTGGCAAACTTGAAATAAGACAAAACTTTTCAAAACTGATAGATCTTACTTTTCAGTAAGATCTATCAGCTTGTTTTAATTACATAATTCCTTCATACTGATGAAAACGTACTTGTTCCATTGGCAGATTATTTAACTTATGACATGAGACATTTTCCTCATGTTATAAGTTAACTTATCTGCCACTGGAACTAGTATGTTTTCATCAATAGTATCGAATTATTTACTTAATACAAGCGTAAATGTAACAAGTATGTAATGAAAAGTTACTTTTAAGTTAATTTGTCTTATTATAGGTGTAATAAGATATTTGCATTAGAAACTAGACCAAAGTTACCTGCTAAGATTTTGGGTTTTTGCCGTGTTTAAAGCAGTGAGGAGAGGTGTGTGTGATAAGCGCACACAACTTTATGGATGTGAGACGTTTAGGGAACGTCTGTAAATCCTTTAAAGCTTTACTCTTCCTGCAGCATCGTCTGAGCTGAAACAAAAAGCACAACTTGTGATTATTGATCTCACTGTGCGATGCTACCTCTAAGCAATCACTCTCCTCCTTTTCTCCAGATAACTCCATGAGCTCAACTGACTGTGAGTATTTATTTCTCTTTTGAGTCACACTCTTTGAACAAATGTGTTAGATGCATGTAAGTTATTGCTTTGGAAAGTGTATTTTCCTTTAGACAGCTGTGATGAATGCCTCCACCACCTGAGCAGGTGCTGCAGGTGCGCTGTACTTTCAGGCAAACTTAACTTTTTATTTTTATTTTTTTATTTTAATGTAGCTCTGCTTATTTTAGCCAGGCTCATTTCTCTCTCTGATAAATCTTACCTGGGCAGAGATGCCTCGCCGGACCCGATTCTCCTCTGGTCCTTTTGTCTAATGAGTCCCACAGAGAGAGGGTTACTGTTGCTGCTGAATCGGTGAGTGTATGCCAAGGCGTTGTTGATGTTGGCTTATTTCGACCGCAGCTCCGGAGATAGATGAAGGCGCCGTTATGCAGCTGGCAGAGATGGGTTTTCCGCTGGAGGCCTGCAGGAAGGCGGTGTACTACACAGGAAACATGGGCCCAGAGATGGCCTTCAACTGGATCATAGCCCACATGGAGGAGCCTGGTAAGGCAGCAATGCCTCACAGAGCATGGCAGCATGGTGCTGAGGGGGAGTTGTTTGACAGAAACTGAGCAAGCTCCTTTAGGCTGACGGCAGTTTTTAAAACGTCTTTTGACATATTTCAAAAGTTAGTGGGCCTAGATATCATTGCTCATATATGAGACATTTAAGAGGGAACCTTTCTAAAGGTAGCAAGTTAATTAAAAAAACACATAAACACAAAAACAAGAAATTTTGTTTTATTTTTGACTTTATAAAGATGAATTTGTTTTTCTGCTAATTCTGTTAAAGCTGTTTTAACTATTTTTTTTTTTGACAAATCAGTGACTATCAAACATTAACCAGCAAATGTAGCGATTTACTATTTAATCTTATAACTTTGACAATATTTCAGTAGCCCCAAAGCCATATCATTTTTTAAATATCTTGTAAAAATGTCATCAGAAACATGTAGACAAATATAGACATGTAGACTGTTCACCAGTCTTCAGAAGATAGGATTTTTAAGGAGTTTAAAAATAATAAAAACCTACTATTGGAGTATGTACAGAAATAAAATGCAGCAAATTTTCAACGGGCAGTAGATAGATTTTCATAAGCTCTCTTATGTCTTAAAATTAAGGCTCCACCTTATCCATCTTTTTGTAGATTTTACTTTTCTGTTAATGAAATGTACAATTAGTGATGGAGCAGAGTTGACTAATAACATAACATTTGATTTTATCCTCAAATTGTGGGATCTGTGAACATCCAATTTTGAAAGTTACCCAAGAAATAAAGTGTTTATGCAGTCTGTTGCCAGCAAATGTGTGGAAAAACTAATCGCACACCATCAAAATTAGATAAGGAATAATAACATCAAAAGCCTGCAAAAGATTTCTCTGTAAGTTTTGAGTTAGTATTGAAGGGAAAATGAAGCCTGAGGAACTTAAGACCCAAACAACTGCATCTAAAACTCTGTTTAAAGTTATTGTGCAGTAATTTGAAACAGGGTCTACAGGCTTTCAGAGGGTGCAGAGGGGAGCAGAAAAAAGGCAGGATTTTATTTATTAGGGACCTTTTGAGCACAGAGGTAATTTGAACTGATAGACATGTCACATCTAATGTTTTTCTTCTCTGTATATATAGAAACCCGACACTGTTTCAGACAGTCTCCACTTCTGGGCTGCAAGTGTTTGTCTGTGCTTATCTGTATATTACTGATCCTCAACAAAAACTTGGTGGGAATCGACCCAGAGTATCTGAGCTGCTCCGCAGTGAAGCTGTTCCCCCAAGGCGTCGACGCGTGTCACTTTTTATTTCCCTTGCTGGATGTAAAGAGCCTTTGTACAGTGGATGGAAATTAGAGCAGCCTCCTGCCAGTTAGTCTTTAAATGGGACTAATGCATCTGCAAAATGGCTGCATTCAGACGCCGTAATATCAGCAGGATCAGCTGTTCAAGTGTGCTTCATAAAGTTTTATTCTTGCTCAGCTCTCTTCTTTTTGATTAGCCATTTTCTCACCATTATTACTTTAGATTCTTCTAGATGTTTTGCCAGAAGAAAGTTGCACATCTTTCTACAAGTTTTTAGAACCTGAAAACTTTGTTAGCTAACACGATACTTAACCACAATAACTTTTATTTCCATACACAAGATTGTCTTTTTGGATCTAGGGGATTTCTTTTCTCCAGATTGTGATGTTGAGGAGTTTTTTTTTTTTTTTTTTTGCAAATATTGTGGATCAGTTTGAAAACATCATGATACATGTTGCCTTATACCTGAAGAAAAAATGCTGCCAAAATGGATGTTTCAACAAGACAATGCAAGAGCATCAGCAGGCGAGCAGTATCCAAGTTCTTGACCAACATTTTGGAGAGGATGACCAAATCCTCAGAGACAACTAAATGGTGGTTCAGTGAGTCACAGAAAAGCTACATCTTCTAGCATTTTTCAGTTTACAGAGTAAATGTCCTAGTTTGTCAAGAAAAATAGCAGACACTTACAGTACGTTTCCTTACCAAAGACCAAACGTCTTCTGGAAAAGAAAATGCACTGCTCCAAATGCATTTGGTCTTATTAATTTATTATAGGAACGCTGAGAGCTGCTGACATTTAACACACCAATTTTTGAATACAATTTAATTTGTTCATGGAAACTTTTTAGACGGAGTCAAAAAGTGGAGAGATGGAGTCTTTCTCTGTGTGGTGAACTTAACCAATTTACCATTGCACAATCTTATAAATTAATAAAAAAAATTCTTTGTAAATATTTGTCGTTTACATATAAAATAAGTTTCTTCTGGTACTATAAGCACATGTCATATTCATTTATTTTGGGTAAGAATGCAATGTTTACTTGTATGTTGAACACGTCATCAGACGTGAAGCAGGGAGAACAGTGAAGTGGGCACTTTGTGTTCCTGTTTAAGAGTAATTTAAAAAAACAGGTTGAGATATTTCAGTAACTTATTGTCTATCTGGAGAGGTAAGTTTGTTAACAAAAAGAGCTAATGCATTCTTTCTCTACAGTTGACTGTTTTGCTTTTAGACAGTCTATTCTCTTATTATAAGAGCTGCATGCAGCCAAGGTCAGTCTGTTTTATTTGATTAGTTCCTGAATTAGTTTTTGGAAAATATTGAAGTATGTTTACAGTGAGTCATTAAAGTGTGGTTTCCTGACTCAGCTCTACTGATAACATCTTGAAGACGGCCATTTTCATGTGAATAAAAACAATTTATTACTGGTATGGACGCAGGACTGCAAGGCCGAGATGGAAAATGGTCCTGGAAGAGGATGTTCTGCATTTTCATTTATGGCAATGACTATAATAGAGGCTCTGTCTAATACCAGGGGTTGAAGGATGTTGTGGTGTGATTTAATTTGGCTTAAAAGACCTGGAAACCATGATTTTTTTTTTTTTTTCGGGGTTAAATCTGAAATGGTGTTACCACGTTATTCCAGGTGGGCCAAATATCTGCCTTGTTCTTCACAAATAATTTGATGTAAAAAAATAACCACTAGAGCATTTTGCAGATTGGTTTCCAAGCAACACACAAGCACAACAACCAAAGGGTCACAGTGGCAGGAAAAAAAAATGATGGGTGCTGCTAAGAGCCGCATTAACATTAGGAAAATGTGCAGCATGAAATCTCCATCCATCCAGCTTCTGCACCTGCTTGTTTTGCAGGACTGGTGCCCATCTCTGCCAGTCATTGAGCAACAGGCGGCGTACAACCTGGACAGGCTGCCAGTTAATCACAGAGCAACACAGAGGGCAAACAATCATGCACACACTCAGACTTAAAGTCAATTTAGAGAGACCAATTAACCTACCGATCATGTTTTTGGACTGTGTGCATGCATGGAGTCTCTCTGACTTCCTGGCTTCCAGTTGTTAGCAACTGTACCACTGTACAGCCCAGATGCTGTCTCATTGAAAATTTCAACGACATGCCTTATGTTTTTGTTTCTCATGTCATCATGATGCATGAGAGCGCAGTTACCTCAGTTTTATGTAAACATTTTGTATGTGCTGTCTGGTTAATTTGTCCTCAGATTCACAAAGCAGGTTATTCTCCCACTGTTGCCTCCTGATACGTTTTATCCACCTTCCTTTTTCGTCTTTGTCTTTATTTTATTCCTCCTTCTAATAAATCACAGGTCTGTAAAACTGGCTGGCTTTTATCAAGGACTTGAAGTGTTATTTCTATGTTCCCAGTTGTAATAAATACTCTGTTTTTCTTCTTTTTTTTTAAAAAATAATCTTCCTCTGTGTTTGCAGACTTTGCTGAACCTCTCACTTTGCCCTCAATGATGGATCCTCTTCCCTCTACCAGTGACAGCCCCATGGGGGCAACGCCACTGGACAACCAGCCTCCCGAGGAGAGCATCGCCATCCTCACCTCGATGGGCTTTCCTCGCAATCACAGCATCCGCGCTCTCAAAGCCACGGTCAGTCATCGGCTCACTGTGTTTCTTTTCCTTCATTTGCTCCTACTGGACTTAAATAATACGCTCTTTGTTTGTGCATATTGGACTAATGCTTGGAAACAAACCTCATAGAGACCGATGACATATTCTTAGCCACAGTTTGCTCGATGTGAACACAGGGCATTAGAAAAGTTTTTGTATCCATTTTTTCCTCATGTTGCAAATGCAAACTGGAATGTATTTTATTGGGATATTGTGTGATAGACCAAAAAATATTTTTCAGAATAAAAATCTATAAAAAGTATGTATTCTACCTTCAGTTGACAATACTTTGTAGAACCACTTTCCTCTGCAATTACAGCTGTAAGTCTTTTGTGCTGTGACCATCAGCTCTGCACATCTCTGCAGTGTGATGTGAAAAGTGAGTTATTTTAGCTGGAAACGCGCAGAGCTGAGCTGTCTCAGCGTGGGCAGACACGGCCGTCACGTCTGACCTGCTTAAAGAGGAGAAATCTTAGGTGGATGGCCCTTCGTCTGCCTCGCATGCAGACTGTTGATAGTTTGAAAGGAAGTGGAAATAGTCAGACTTGAGCAAGAGTGAGGATGGAAAAGGGAATGCCTACACCGTGTGCTCTCAGGGAAACGAAGAGCTAAAAGCACATCTGTAACAACTGTTTGGCATGTCAAGGAAACACTTTCCAGAAACCTAAAGGAAACCGGAGCTTAGGTTAAAGAGGGAAAAAGCAGGAGGAGGGCATGAAGTGAAGTGGCATTTGAAAAGAGGGCAAAGACGGAGCGAGACGATGAAAAGCGAACTCTGTAAGTCATAAAAGGCTCTGGCTGCCCTACTTGTTCACTTTCCAAGGTGTGGATTTATTTGGTCCTACATGTCAGAGTGATTAAAGATGTCTGCTCTACATGGTGTTTACAAATAGTCTCTGCATCACACAAATGCCCCCCCTCCCCTCACCTCTGGTTGAGGAACGCACGAAAACGTCGGACAACTGGTAAAGCAGTTCATAAATTCACAAATGGCGTGGAGTAAATTCAATGTTTTTACTTCTGTTATGGGTCAAAGAGAATGCCACCTCCATTTCCAAGTTCCTCCAGCCTCCAAATGGCCTCCGATTCTCACATTTCATGTTTCATATTTCAAACTGCCCCTCTCAGCAAAAATGGCCCCGCAGACGGCTGGTAGGAAGCAAAAATAGAGGCCGGGCTTTCTTGTTTATCATTAGTAAAGCCACAGAGCTCTCTGGCAGACATGCTGCTGCTGCTGCTGCTGTTGTTGAAGTGGAGAGAAAACAAAGAATGCATATTCCTCTCGAGGGAGGAAGGGACGGGGGGAGGTGTGAAACAGCGAGGGGTCTCAGTGCTGGTTTGTTGTCGGACCATATTGAGCATGAGGCACGTTTATCTGACCCCATAGACCTCTCTGAGGGATAAAAACAGATGCCATTAGCCAAGCCGTCGCCACATGCGTTCCCCAGACTCTCATTCCCCACCTGTCACACCTTTGGATTCAAAACAAACAGGGGGAAGTTTATCACAGATGGAAGCCTCCCACTTCTCTAGTGAAAGATTGCTCATTTATCGTGTTCATCATGGGGCATTCAACAAATTGGCAAAACTAGAAGAGTCAACATTTCTAATCCTGGTTTCTGTAGCATGCTCTAAGATTGCAGCTCTTTGTAAGAGTAGTACGTGGTTCAGGAGGGAGGAGTTGGTCCTCTGACCAGAGGGTTGGTGGTTCAAACCCCTCCACGAATACTTATGCGAGCTACAGCTAATGTTTGCATTAGCAGTAGCTCAGTTTCCGAGCAGAAAGTGTTTTAAAGATCTGCATCAAATGACCAGTTTCGTTTGCAGCGACTGTGAAACTGGCTAACAAAAAGACGGCTTGATATCAATTTTTCTTTTTTCTTAGCTTGGCTTCCTTTTATGATTTTTCTAGAATAATAATCTTGAGCGAGCGCTCGACTGGATCTTCACCCACCCAGAGGAGGAGGAGAGCGACGGGCTCTCTGACATGGCGGACACGGAGCCCAACGATAACTCCTTTTCCAACATGAACTCGCACAGTGACTCCACGCTGTCCCCAGACAGAGAAACGTCAAGCCCGAGAGTCAAAGATGGACCGGGACGTAAGCGCTTCGCACTTACTGTGTCTGTTTTTGATCTTTCTGATGAGAAAAGGTCATCAGATTTTGGACTTTTTAAGCATCTTTTAAGAAATCTTCAACACTTATAAGATTTTTTTTTTTTTTTTTAAATCCTGCTAAAGCTTTCTGGCATAATAGGAGTAATGTGATCATTTTCCTGATGTGCTTTACATACACAAGGAAATCTGACATTAGTGACTCTTGAAATGACCTTTTTTTAAATTAAAATGTTGCAACATTTCTGTGTTAGTTTGTTTCTTATCATGTTTGTGGCTTTTCTTCACTTAAGGATATGAGCTGTTTGCCATCATCAGCCACATGGGAGCCTCCACGATGTCTGGACATTATGTTTGTCACATCAAAAAAGAGGGAAGGTCAGTAGCAACCTGTCTCACAAAAAATGAGACAAAGTCTGTTCACGTTTTCTATTTATTCTATTTAATCCTGTAGCATTCGTGGCTCTGAACAGTGTGTATAATGAATAATCTTCACTCCTCTTCATTCAGGTGGGTGATCTACAACGACCACAAGGTGTGTTTGTCAGAAAGGCCTCCGAAGGACTTGGGCTACATCTACTTTTACCGTCGCCTCTCGAGCAGTTAAAATCACTGCCTCCCTGCTCCCTGCAGTCTTTAAATAGCTTCAGTCTTTCACCCAGAAAGACTGGCAGACACCTGCAACAACAGCCACAGCAGAAACGATGGAAGAAACCTCACAGACCAGCTTCTTGCCTTATCCTCATCTCACACCGGAGTAATTAGGAATAATGATCCAAAAAGGAAAGCGATGTGCTTATTTTCTGTGCATTTGTTGTGCTTTGAATGTATATTTCATTGTTTATGTTGGGAGAGACAAACAGGGAAAACAAAAAGTAAGTACACAGGGATGCGTGCAATTTGTACTTCTGGAGTGGTCTGGAAACAAAACGATGCAACATATCAAATCAGGTTGCTCCTCCTCACTGCCTTCAGCTGCTTGTGCTGTACTTTCACACTGCTACATTTTATAAATGTGTGCTTAGATGGCAGTGCTACACTTCCGCTCCACAAATGCTCAGATTCTGCAACAAAACATAAGTGATGTCTGTGCTGTTAGTGGCTTTTCATTTTGCTACAAAATACAATGAATGTGTCCCATTCATTCACTGTGGATGCTGAGGGAACACCCCAAACACCTTTTAAGCTTCCAGATTCAGGAAAGCACAAGGAAGGTTAAAATGTTATCTAGACGACTGTAAATGCACAGAATTATTTGCTGGATTACAGCTAAAAACTGCCCCAGAAACAAGATGTTTCCGTTTCCTTCTGCGCTGGCTGACTTCCAAACCCCCCAAAAGCACTTTTAAATAATGAAAAAAAAAAGTTCTGCACTTGATGCAAAAGAAGTGGAATAACATGTCTATTCACCCACGAGTGAAGTTAAGTTATTCCTTAAACCGTGACAGTATTTAATATCATGAATGCCCAATTGGAGCATGTATAAGCCTGTTTAAATAAGTGTTAGTTTCAGCGCTGCAACTAAATCTCGTATAAAAGTTCTCAGTCCTGAACTTTTTAGACAGTTTTTGCCCAAATTGCAAAATATTTGCTTCCTCTGCAAACGTGAACCCAGCTGCACCTGCAGCAGTTTGGCTTCTTTATCACCCCGACAGATTCAGACGGTGACCCAAAAAGGTGAAACGAATGTTTTCATCGAGTTGTTGCCAATTTGCAGGACTCTCGTTGTTATTTATTGAACTGTTGTCCAGACTCCAGAGCAGCACGTCTGGAGAAATATGCACTGCAACTAAATCCGGGATGAAGGCTGCACACTGATCTGTGTCTCCTCCGCGGCGAACACGCTGCACATGCTTTTTGCGTTGCCGAATGTAAATCTTTATGGTGCTCTTTGTGGACAGAAGCTCCTCTTCAAAACCCATAAACCAGCAAAAATCATTCAACCCATCTGAATCTAAATAGGATGTCTTCAGAATTCAGGATGTGCTGACTGGTAGACATGGGATTTATATATCAAGGTTTCAAAAGGTTAGTTTCCAGCTAATATCATCTTGCTATACTTTTAGAGAGTATAAAGAGCAGAACAGCTCAAAAGGTATATGTTGTGCATTAAGCACTCAAAAACTAAATTCAAGGGGCATTTTTTTAAAATTTAATTTGCTGTGAATCAAAATGACAGTAAATAATTTAACAATAAATCTGTGTAATTTATTTTGGCAGCAGCAGTCGGAATAATTTTGTTTTGTTATTTTAAACACATTGACGCACTGAAACCATGGCGTTTTACCACAACCTTCTCAAACCAGAATCCCATACCGGCCCACGCTGGTTTGTTGTCCTTTAGTTTTGACTGGAATAGAAACTGGTTTTGTTTTATGCATCCAAGCAAAAGACAATGCAAATATTTCAAAGCATTGGCCATTTGTTTTATGCATTGGCATGCTTAGCAGAAACTCAGTGGCTCCTGAAGCTGGAGGTCTTGAGAATTCAAAGTTTACACTCAAATTGATCCTGGATAGAAAAAGATAATTCAGTATTAATGGTTTGGAAGGTTTAATTTTATTCTTTATTTGGTGTTCTAGTGATGAATGTATTTCCTGACTGGTCACATGTCTTTGTTTGCTTTGCAGAACTTCACTTTGACATCTGTGGGTTATGACTATTTTTTTTTTTTGTCCTCAAAAACTCAAGTCCATCTTTACATTTAATTGTTGACATAATGGTTCCCATGAAAAAATGGATGCCAACTAACCAATGTTAGTGTAAAAAAGAAAACAAAGTAGTTTGAATAAGAAGAGCAACGAAAACGCTATTTTCAGCTGGAAGATGACAGAACAGAAACAAAAACGCTTCTTTCATTCATAATCACCTAAGGCTGTTTCTATTCTGTATTTACAGACTATTTCAACAAATACTCAATTTATGGGATAAACTTAATTTTCACTGTGCTCCTCTTTAGCAACACTGTGCCTAAACCTCCCTGGATAAATCTTAACTCGTGTCAAATCTCCACCTCTCAATGAAACTGCTGCTGCGTTTCTCATCTATGCAGCAGGAAATATTACTCAAAGTCTCTATGCAAGTCCTGCATTTCTGCTGCTCTTCATCAGCGGATGACTGATGAGGTTGTTGTCTCGCTCAGCTGTGGTCAGTTATAAATGTGTCCACCTGTGCTCTGAAGTTTGTCCTTTCTGTTTCCTGGATAGATTTTATTATTTTATTTTTATTCTTGTCTCGTTTCAGCTTTTCCTCTGCTCACTCCTTTCTTGTCTTCTTATTCAATTTGTTACAAGAAAAAGTTTCATATTCAGCATGTGCACTAAAGGTCAACATGTAGTTATTTGGATTGTACAATAGTACTTTTGCAGCTTTTATCCTATTTGTTTTTCCACTTCCATAAATGCCAAACATGTTAATTGTTTTTTCTCCCTGCTGCCTTTTTGCAGAAAGATCTGTGCCACTACCTTAGTTTTTATTCGTGGGATTATTTTACTTTTGTAATGTAGCTGTTCATCCAAATGTGGCTTTAGTGTACGTGAATACCGTACAGCATATCCAGTGGCACTGTTTACTTTATGATGTTTGGGTAATTTAATAAACTCCACATTTGTTGAAACAACTTCTTTTCATTTTAAACCAGGGTAGTTTTACTTGTAAACTCATTTCAAACAAGGAAATTCAAATTAAAAATAAGAATAAAAAAAACAAACATATTAAGAACATGAATCATCACATAAGCTATGCAAAGATAACAACATAACCACATAAAAAAATAAAACTACATTTTAGCCAAATAACTCCAGCCATTTGACTGACGGTGAACCAGTGCAGCAATTTAAGGATTGGATAATGTCATCCAATTTTCTAGTGTCGCTCAGGACTCTGGCTGCAGCATTTTGAATAAACTGCTGCTGCCTAAGAGATTAGGAAACACTGTATTTGAAACATGAAGGAGTCTTCTTGAATGTTTAGGACTGTTGTTATGAAGTATCATTCAGAAAATAATGACACTTTTTTAATGCAAAATTGCACAAAAAGTTGCATTAAAGGTCCATTAAAATGATAAATTCTGGATTATTTGGTAAATAATGACACTTTTAATGCAAAGTTGCAATACAAGTTGCATTACAAGTTCATTAAAATGGTCAAATTTGCATTATGATTGTTTACCAAATGAGACTTCATGATGACAGTCGTAAACATTGATGAGAACTCCTTCATCTTCATGACTGTTGTCATGTTTATGACAGTGTCATGTCAGTCTTTTACACACTCCTTCAAATAAAGTGTTACCAGAGATCATTTAGTGACCTGTACTGTCTATGCACAGTTACATTAAGAAACTGAAAAGCTTGAACCAGGTTTTTTAGTCTTGTTTCTTAAAGAAATCATATTTTCTGGTGATGTTCTTGAAATGGTACTAGGCAGTTTTTTTTATTTTATTGAAACTCAGATGTTAGTCCATCAAAACTTTGTGGTTGCTTTCTAACCTCACATGATTTCTGTCTGTTCTGCATTTAGCTGTAGGACATTCAGACCGATAGCCAGATATGAAATAATGTTAGATAAAAATAGCCCGAGAACAGATTCTTGAGGCATCCCAAAGAAGACAGACAAGCAGAAAATATATAACAATAGTTTATTTTAAAAGGTTACTTCCATACTTTGTTGTTAAAGGTGCTAATGCTTTCCTTGTGGTTATACAAGTTCAGTAACAAGCATTATAGTAAGTGGTTTAATAAATGGATGCATGTATAGAAAGTATATAATTTCTAGTCTCAATCATCAAAATATAGTTTTTATTCAAATGTGATGCTTCAATTAAATTTGCTAAAGCAAACTATCACTGTACATGTTGCAACAAAGTAACAGCAATGGGTTAATGACGTTCATGAGCCCCGGCCTACAGGCAGCTTTAAGTCGTTTTTAAATGCTTCAAAGTTACATCGCAACAAAACCAGCAAATACATTATTACATCTGTAAAGTACAGACTCTTTACATCTATGGAGACAGAAAATGCCTTTGAGCCTTAATAAAATATAGAATAAAGAATAAAGATGAGAAAATGCATTATTTAATAAAGGTAAAAAAATAACTTAATCTTGTACTATAATGCATTCTTTCTTAAAGTAGGTGCTTTTTAAAATGTCTTTCTGGACATTTCATTTTATTCTAGTTACATGTGTGAACTTTTGTTCCTTCTGTGAAAAGAATAAACAGATGTGTTATTAAATATCTTAAGTAGAATAAGCAACAAAGATTATAGTTGTAAATGTGAGAATGTAAAATTATTTCAAATTGATTTGCAGTTTTACTTTACATTTAGTACAACCATTTTAAATCCCTAATCCCTGGCACACTATTGCATATCTGCCTTGTTTTTCCAACTGGTGGCTTCCTGCTCATCTGGTATCTCCAGCTAAACAGAGAAATGCCAGAAAGCTTTTGTACAAGTCAAAAAAAAAAAAAAAATCTTTCACATGAGAATTGCAACTAAGAGATGCCATATACGACACACATAGGCACTAGTGCTACAAATTTGACATAAATGCTACTTAAATGTTTCAGCAAGATAATGTTAGTGATGCTATGCTACAACATGCAGAATGGTTCAAGTGGCTCCAACAGCTAAATGGTATGACCTATTTTCTGATAAAAATCAGCTAATAATTATTTGGCCACTTAGAGGCAGTGACAGATTGGTGCAGAGGATTGAACTTCTATTCCCAGAGGGCTTGAAGGGAAGCCCATTTCTGTCTCTTTGATAAAAAAACAAAACAACTTTTATTTCATCATTATTTCTTTCTCTGCCAAACTGGTTACCATTCAGTTTTTTTTTTTTTTTTTTTATTTTGGGATTTTTCCAAAACTGGAAGGATTATTAGATTTATAAAATCACTTCTGAAGTATAACTTCATGATGTTGCAACATCAATTTCTTTATCTTAAGCCAAACTTGTTTCACTCTTCTCTTTATAATGTCACAGAGCCAATTCAAGGCATTTGAGTATAATGAGATACAAGTTTACTTGTTTTTTCATCAGAGAGGCAGGAATTGGCTTCCACAATCAAGAGATAAGTAGGAAAAATAAAAATAAATAGCAGTAGTAATTTAGTAATCGTCCTGATGTGCTTCCACTACACTAAAAGAGGTCCCCGAGAAAGCAACATGCAAACTTTATAGGAAAGCAAAAAGTGTTTTTAGATACGGCAACAAACATGTCAAGACAAGAAAGCAGCGGAGGCAAAAAGCAAAGTTTTATAGGTTTTATCCGCCGATGTAGTTTCAAAATTTCAGTGGATTAACTATGATCACCTACTGCTGCAGGAAAATGATCTAAGCCTAGATTTTTATGAAAATGTTTTCTGTATCCTCATTATTATGCGTCAGCTCTGCACTTCTTCTTTTATGCCACAAAACATACCGTGTGTTGAATAAATACTGAATATATAGATAATTGTTTAATGCTAAGGTTGCAGTATATTGTAGAAATATTGCAAGGGAGCCTCTTCATATGCCTAAATGTTACATATATTAGTGATAGCAAAAGCAAGCACCTACATGCATTAAAATGAAGGTATAATTCTGTGCCATAATTAAAATGCTATCTCCTCATAATGTTTCTCAGAAGCATGCGCTAAGCTACTTCGGTTCACCTGAGGAGGTACCTAATTCTACAAAAAATCTTGACTTTAAGGGCAGAGCTTAAAGCTTTCTCCTTTTTTTTGTTTTAAAGTTACAGAATAAAAAAGTGAAGGCCCAAGATGTGATCTGAAAAATGAACATAATTCCCAAACTTGTTTTGTTTTTCTGCAGTTCTGCTGAGAAAGAGGACAAATGGAAACAAGTTGTGTGTGTAAAATGATTACAAAGAGCATATTTTTCTTTTCTAAAAGTAAGTAAAGCTATTACAAAGAAGATAATGAAGACGGACAGAGGCTTATCTAGCAGCCAAACACAACGTCTGCAGACAGAAACAGTCGTACACACACAACGTCTGACGATTATAGTTGTGTTCTTGGGACATTTCTGCTTGGCTATTATAATTATTTCCAGAAGATGTAACTGAAAATAACAAATGACATCTGTAAATATATATTTTTGATTTGAGTGGAAACATTTCTGGAGCTAGCATCCGTTGACCATCACTAGTATTTAACTTAATCTTATAACAAAGTAACTTACAAGTCAATATATTAATTGACTGAGCTAAAAAAAGAAAAGAAAAGAAAAGTAAATAATTAATTTTACAGCATGTTTCAATTTGCACGATGCATTTGGTTGCAATCCCATGCTTGTATCATTAAGAATCAAATTAGCTCTAAACTGGGAAAAAAAAAAAAAAAAAACGCTCAAAATGCCAGAATGTTGTCTTTGTTTTATAGCTAGGCTGAACCAAACTGGGGCAACGAAGCGCTGGGAAAAATGTATCTCATGTTGATTTCACTGTGTTGATGAGGAAAAGCTACAATTAAAGCAAAATGTTAACATTGCAGGTTGTTGAAGGGAAGAATAGTTGCTGAGAATAATTTGGATTTGGGAAGAAAAAGAGATTACACATTAATAAAATGAAAACAAAATGAATAATAGTTGGTGCTTCAGAAACTGTTGAAAAGCTCCCTCTTTACTCCTAAATTAGTAGGTATTTCAAATATATATATATATATAAACACAATGAGTTTCTAAGTATAAGTAAACTGAACTTGCCAAAAGAGTACTAACCTCTGTGAACATAAAGTTAGGAATAAATTTGCCCCCTAATTTTCTGTAAGGCCTTTCCAGAAGCTACTTTTGCAAAGTATAAAACATTCAACCTGAATTTCATATGCCCCTTTGAAATGAAGCAATTTTGTTTCATTTTCAATTGCAATGCAAATGTCATTGTGAGCAAATGATAGCCAACTCAAGTTATTTCCTCTTAAAAGTGTTTTTGGCCACTGAACATCTTGCCGAAGGTGGCTGCTTTTTAACTAAAACTTACTTTACTTACCGTCCAAAAGTAAAACAAATATCTTTGGGAGTTGTTGCAGTACAGCCACAAACTTCATCGAATTGTACGCAGATTATATAAGACAGACAACAAACAAAATGTTCTGCATGACGGTAAAGTCAAATAGAAATAATAAATGTTTTTTGTTATTTTCACAAATAAAATAACACAACATGAGCCCATTTTTGCTAATACCCTATGCCACATTTTTACTTATTATAGTTCAAATGTGTGTAACTTCTCTATATAAATTCATCTGTTCTGTGAAGGCCTCGAGGTTTGTTACAGAACATTAGTGAACAAACGGCATCCTGGAGACGAAGCAACGCATCAAATAAGTTCAAAGTAGGGTCAGGTTTTTAAGTAACATCCCACGATTTGAACATCTCATGGGGAATTATTTGACCCAGCTGCAAAACAATTCAGACCCCTGAAAACACATTGGCTAAAAAGAGAGAGCATTGATCAGAAAAGCAGCCATGGTGACCAACGTGTCTTCAGAGGAGATTCACCGCTCAGATTGGAGACTATTCATACGTTGCACTGGTCTTTGTGAGCATGTAGCAACAAGCCAGTTGCACTGAAAGAAAGACTTAAGATCAGGACATGTTGATTTTTCTTCAGAGTAAATGGAGCCTAAATACAAGACAGTCATAAAAAAATAACAAAACTGCAAAACCTACCACCAGAGATACCATGGAATGATTTGCTAAGGGCATTTATGAATGGCAATGTCAAAGTCTATGCCTGCATCAACTGAGGCATGACTTAAAAAACTGCTGCTGACAACCCGACTAATTAGCAACTTTTCAAAGCTGGTAAAGAAAAGCCCAAAAGACTTGCATCTGCAATCTTTGCGAAAAGGAATTTTACACTAAAATTACTTCTGGGGCCTGAGGACAAATGCATATTGCACTTTATTTAACTTGAATTTGTAAAAAAAATAAATAAATAAATAACCAAAAATTATCTATCAGTTTTCTTTCTCTTCAAAACGACACACAATTTTGTTTGTATATAAGCAAATGTTTGTGGCTGGAATAATGTGACAAGTGTGAATACTTATGCAAAGAGAAAAGTGAGCTGACAGAAGAAAAAGAAAATGTCTACAGCTGTGAATTTGGCGTGTGCAGCTGCAGATGCATTATTATGTCGCAGATTCATACAGTGTCAATGCCGCATTTCAGCTGGTTTCTGTTTGTTCTCCCCCAGCCGCCTGATAAAAACACTCCTCCTGACACAGAGTGTGTCATCCCAGCTGCACTGTTAGGAAGATGAATGGTTCTGGTTCTGCTCTCTGGGTCCCGCTGATAGCATTCATTCAAAACACAGAATCAACACTTCCCTTTGCTCCACAGAGGCAGATGGGGACAAACATGAAACATGACCTTTTGCATAGGCGCCGACAATAAGAAGAAGAAGGAAAAAAAAAAAAGAAAAAAGAAAAGCTTTCTGCAGCACACCCGGACTGTGGACATGACCGATAAACACCAAAGTGAGCTGTACTGCACAGCAGATCATCTATCATTCACTCCGCCACCACCGCCGCCGCACGGCAAGCTGCATGGCGTTAAACTCACAGCGACTCTCAAACTGTGACTAGAAGGAAGCTGACAAATGAAAATCATAAGAAATATTTAGAGGTGCTGCAAAGGGTTTATCTTAAGCAGGAGCATCAGTGCATTTTATAATGTATAATGATCTTCTGAATAGCATTTATTTATTTATAAAAAATCTGTTTTTCCTTTTATAGGAAATGTGTGCAACTCTAAGCGAGCCTCTATAAATATTGAAATCATGCATGATGGCTGAGGGTAACTGATTTAATTAAATGAATGAGCTTTGCTGCCAGAGAAGGAGCAGCAAAGATACAAATGACTACATTAAGGAAATTCATCAAGCTGCTGTCTTGGGTCCTGGCTTGCAAATACACATCTTTTAATCTAATGTTAGTATGCTGTATTGAAATGAATACAGTCAGCATAAATAAAAATTAGGCGCTTTTCTTTGTAGGGGCCTCTGAGACGAGACATTTTTAGAAATATAATCACTTTTCCCTCTGAGAGGGAAAAACAAAAAAAAACGATTCAAAAAAACGATTCAAATCAATATTACCCGCTCACTGTGTGCATCCCTCCAGCCAGTCAGCATTAAAGCAACAAATATTACACACGAGCTGCATAAATATATAAACAACTGAACTGAGATTAGCGGATCAGAAGTCGTACAGGTTCTAAGAACAGCACTTATGTTAAGAAATTTAAACCGGTCTGAAAATGGCTTTGATATATTTTGTTCCTTGTTGCCATAAAAATAGTGTAAATAAATAATGTTGGACGCATGCATCTCAGTAAGGCTTTACAACCTGGGTTGCACATTCCATAGAGGAAGTCATCTAAAAGTGCAAAGGGAAAACTTCTATAAGTATGCTAATCTCTCCATTTCTGAAAATGTTTGTTGTGTTTTTTTTTTTTTTTTTTTTTTTGATGCAGAGTAATAAGTCTCCATTGACAGAGGGGGAGGTGAAGCCAGGAAGACAATATAGAGCTCCGGGGTTACAAGGTGCAGCCTTTATTGTTCGGCTCACTGAATCCAACCGTCAGAGAGGGGGGGGAGGCAGTCCTGAGTCAACAGATCTTCCTCTCAAAACCTCATCTTTTCTGCTGCAAATGGCTTGTGAGGGTTCCTCTGTGGGAGTCTTAAATCTGGCTGTCACTCCTGGCTCACCTCTGTTCCACTGCATGAGTCAGTTTTTAATTGATGCGTCCTCTAAGGCATTGCTCATACAATCTTCGCCCGTCCTTGTGCTCTTTAGGGAAATCACAAATTGCAGTGCAAATTCCATCGCTAAGCAGTCCATCCGAACCCCTGGAAGAAGCGGCCCTCCGAACTGCTCTCAAGAAATTTAGGGCAAGAAGGACGTGACAGGGTTTGACCTTTTCAGTTCATTTTGATATGCAGAAACTAAACACACACGCCGGTGTGTTAACTCAAACCGTGTGCACTTTGGGCTTTTGGCTTCTGGCCAGAGATCAGAGAACAAATGACAGAGCGCACTCCGTCGATTACTCAAAAGTCCAAGTTAAAGGCCCTCATCAGGAGATCCAGATCGCCAATGTTTGCGGCCTGAAAGAGTTCGGGTTGGTCCATCATAGATAAAGCTATCCTCAGAGCTGCCCAGATGTTGCCAGACATCACCTGATGGGACTGCTGACCGCTCTGGCTTTTCCTCTGGAGACTTAAAGCCATCAAGAAGTTACTGGCTGCCTCTCTGGGGAAACAAAAGAGACAAGTTACTTCGCGCAGAGTAAACTGTGAGAGTTTATGTCTGGTTTGTTACATTTTCTGAATAAATAAATGTCCAAAATGAAATCTCCTCAGTGTTTCTATTGTTTAAATAGGATGTGATCTCTCGCTTGTCACACTAGCATGATCTAAATCAGGTCTCTGAGATTAGTTTATGTCACATGAATAACAATATATGGTGCCTTGCATAAAATATTAATTTGCCTTAAAACTTTCCTCGTTTTGTACAAATATAAGTGCAAAAGTTTGTGTTCAACCCTCTTTCTTCTCACAACCCGACATATAACAGAATCAGCTGCTACCTTTAAAATTCACCATATTTCATCTCTGCATAAATAGTTCTGAGAAGATCTCAGAAGTTTGTTAAGGATTTTTTTTTTCACAAACAGTTTCACAAAGATCAAGAACTACAGCAGCAGTTCTAGGAAAAACTTATGCAGATGTTTTAAGCAGCGTTAACAAGCTTTGGACATTTGACAGAGCGCTGTCCAATCTATCATCCATCCCACATGGAACAAAGATAAAATAACACACTAGTCAAGAGGGACATTAATCGGGTTCATGATAACTTCACGTGAGCTGTAGAAAGCTGAAGTGGGATAATCTATTGTCATATTGCCCACAAATTTGCCCTTCATTGTTCATTGTTGAAACAAAGCAATAAAAAGTCTTGTTTTTGTTTTGCAACAAGAAGCTGCTCCGTTCACTTGAGATCAAAAGTTTATTTTCCGGTCCAAGATAATCTTGAGCGCACCATTCCCACAATGCAACATAGCGGAGGTGGTGTCATGCTATGGGACTGCTATTCTTCAGCAGGAGCATAGAAGCTGGACAACATCGGCAGAGCCTCAACTTTCAGAAGGAGCTGCAGCAGAATAAGTTTGACCCAGCTGTATTTTTGCCTTGGCTTGGTCCAGAAAAAGGTCAGAACTTAGTCTTCTCTCTAAGTTGAGAAAAGAGTAAGCTAATCTCATTAAGTAGATCATAATGAGCAAGATCTATTTTTCAAAGTAGGATGAGCAAAATCACTCTCTAGACATGGAAACCTTGGAGGGACATACAGCAATAAACCTTACAGCTGTAGATGGGGTAAAAGATTATTTAGTTACATAAAACAACAATAAAATATATTGAAGTCTGACAGAAATCAAAGGAAATCAATGGTTTTGCGAGGCTGTGCATACAAACTTTGACTTACCAGCTGTTTTGTTTCAGACAGGATTATGTGGACAGCATGATGTTCGCTTTTCTCCACATTTATAAGTTTCTGTTGCTCTCTGCTGGTATTTTATTTGTCATTTTAATTCTCTTTTTATCTATGTCTTAATATTAACGGGAAAAAAAGAAAGTTCAGACCTTAATATATACAAAATGTCAGAGTTTTAGCACTGCAGCTTAACTCCATTTCTAAAACTGGCCATTTGTTGCTGTACTGGGATTCATCAGGTTTGAACAACACATATTAAAATACATATAACTCAGCTCAGTGATGGACAAAGGACCTAAACTCTGATTGTTATCGATGGTTTAAGAAGGCTCCCAACCTTTGTAGAGTGTTATTTGCAGCTTCGCACCATGAAGATAAATTGCTCTCAAAATGCTAAAGGTCACTGCTTCTCCTCACCAAGCCAAGTGTTTGGCTTTTCCTTTTCTATAATCCTGGAAACAGTTTGTTCAGCTCCGGCCTGATTGCTTGGCGACTAACGGTGCTGCTCGTTTCTAACAAAAATAAATAAGAAAAGTAATCATACTAAAGACAATTAACTATTTAGTTGCTAAATCTAAGCTGTGGTTAATCAAATGTGTTTTACAGCTTCTCAAAAGATGATATTTTTTCTATGGCTGAGATTTGGTTCCACATTACAAGAGCATTAAATTTTCATCCATGAGAATGGATCCTCGTTTTTAGTCAGTTGTGCTCATCTCTACGTCAAAACTATAAAGCACTCACTTGCTTTCAGGAATTAAAACATGGCTGACTGAACCTTTCTGCTGTTATTGAAAGAAATTTAACGTTTTGGAGAGATGTCACTGGAATATCTATTAAATACTCAGAGATGATCAATATAGTATCATTATGGTATGATTTATGACAGCAAGGTTTATAGTCGTTATCTTATCAAACATTGTCAAAACTTGTTGTTATAATTATGGTTTAATGCTGGTATTTGCAGGCTAATTTATCTGTAGCTGATTGACAATTTGTGATCCTGCGTCTTGGAAGAAACATTTATCCATATTTTTACATTTTGTTATTGTAAATCTTGTTAATTTGTCTAGAAAAAGTGTTTAAGAATGTAGACATTTAGCCAATTAGACACTGAGGAAAAAGAAAGATTATCTCCAAGGAGCAGAAGTGAGAAAAGTGTAATCTTATGTTATTCTTACATCTCTTCTGGGTTCTGCTGCATGATGTATGTGCTCCACTGCATAAAACCAGGACATGTTGATTTGTCCTCTGTCACACAACCTGAGGTGACTCACCTGTGAGCCCCCAGGTTGATGCAGCTGATGCCCAGGTTGTAGCGGGACCTGATGAACCCTGGATGCAGCTCGAGGGCTCGCGTGTAAGCCTCCACCGCCTCTTCGCTCCGGTCTCCGTTCGCTAATGTGGCTCCAAGGCGATTCCACAGCAAATAGTCCTGCAATGGAGGACGAGCACTGAGGTGATGAAGAAAACTCAAATAGATTGCTTTTTTTTTAAATTTATTATGAACTATGCTTTTGGATGAATTACTGTTTAATCAGCAAATTATGATCAGTTTTTCACAAGCACCCAACAAGAACCTATTTTGAACAACTGTGCACAGATTTTGGATACAAAAGTAGTCCGACAAGGTTAGTTGAGTGTTCAGAGTAAGCAGAGTTACATCACGCTGGACGTCCTTGTCGCCGTTTCCCACCTGCAGGCTCACAGGCTCATTCAGAGGTCAGTGGTCTGGTACAGAACTGGGGTCCTTCATCTCTGGCTAAGCCAAGCAGCAGGCTATAATTATCCGCCTTTTGTTTTCAGTGCTGTTTTCTTTTTCTTTTCAGCGGGAGAGCAGAAATTAGCAAGTCAAATATGGGAGACTGGATTTAACAATAATAGTCATGCAGGCCTGAGAAAGGGAAGGGAGGAGATGGACTGATCTGTCTGATGCAGACGGAGGAAAAAAGTTTGTAAATGCAGTCGATTTTGAATACATTTTTTTTCCACATATACTTACTTTGTGCCAAAAAGAATATGCATTTATGTTTGCATTTTTTGTAGGGCAATTATACACTACGTCTTGATCTTGAATAAAAATCTATATCTATCTTCAATCAGCTGCAAGGTTTTTCAGGGTAAGAATGTTTTTGATGTTTGCACACATTTACTCTCCCTGTTAAGGTTGTTTGCATTTATTTTACTCATGTCAGCTTATGAATCTCTTACATCTCTGAATCTGCTCTCAGACTCTGAACTGACTGTAAAGTATTCATGTAGATGCATATAAATTCGTTTTTCTTGTGCTTTATTCTGGGAATCTCTAGTCTAAAACCATTTTCAAACAGGCATTTATTTGTGAGAATCTCGCTGCATTGGTCCATGCAGACTTCATTTCTGCGGGAGCTGAGATGAAAGTCTGATTGATGGATCCATATTTGATCAGCTCTTCTGATGATCCTGCAGACTGCATTATTAATTGAATAAATAGGTCTCTAACGATGCAGCACAGCCCAATGGAAAACACAGAATATATCAAAATTATTCAAACTGTTTGATAACTAGAATCAATGATTGAACTGAAATGATTTTTTTTTGTAAAGTGTCTTGACTCTGCCAGTCTGCTCCAGGGCAGCTGAGGCTACAATCCAGTAGCTCAACAACATTAGCAGGTGAATAGACTTTATAAAACGCGATATAAATGAAGGCCATTTACCATTGAAATATCCTGTCTGTTGACACAAATCTGAGAACATGAGCATGATGGAAAGGGAGCCAAGTTTTTAGGCGCAAGATAAAATAAAACTGTTTAAATTGTGAAACCCCCCCCCCCAAAAACATAAAAAACATTGTTGAGTAGTAAGACATTGGTTTTGGTAATGCACACTTAAAATTTCTGCTTTAAATGATGAGTGTGAATCTTTATGTCAGAAAAAGTCAGATTTTAGCTCATTGCTTGTGCTGACTAGACGGTTTGCCTTAACAGGATCATAAAATGGGCATTTGCATTTGTCCTCCTGATTACATATTTTGTAAAATTCTCTTTTGCTGCAATTGCAGCTACAAATGTGTCTCTATTGCTGATTTACCTTCAGAGACTGACATTTTAACTACGCTTCTTCGCCACATAGATCAAACTCTGTCAGATTGGATGTGAGTATCCGCAAACATCAGTTTTCAGATATTGTGCTCAGATTCTTGATTTTATTTTGACCTAGACTTTGATTAAGACAATTTAACATATTTATTTATTTTGGACAGACAAGAAAAATGAAACAAATTATTGTGGCCAACTGGCATGCAATTTTAAATTATCTTTTCGAAAAGTAGCAGATAGAAGATACAAGATCTTATGATTTCCTGTCCCTCTCATTTTCATCAACGTATAAACATTTAAATCTCCAAACACCAGATAAACTTAAATTATTTCCACATTTCACGACACTTAAATCTCACATTCTCATCTTTAAATGTACAATTATTTATAATTTTTTTTATATCATCAATACCACTTTTGGTCTTTAAAAATGCTATTGATGAATATACTTTAATCAAAACAAACAGAAGCTCTGACTGTAAGCTTGGTGTTTTTATTCTTCTATGTAAATATCCTTCACTTCCAGTTTTACGTCTTTTGCAGCACCAAACAGGGTTTCTTCCCAAAAAAATGAACACCTCTGAGCAGTTTCCGTGCTGCTGAAGAAAAATTCCCCCACTGCCATGTTTTACTGTTTGCTTCAGGTAATGTGCAGTATTCTTTTTCTGCCTCAAAAAAGGTGAAAAGCCAACATTTTGCTTGACCAAAAAACCTTTTTCCACATGTTTGTTTTTCCTCAATGGCTTGTTCACAATCCAAATGGGTCTACTAGTGGCTTTCCTTTGACAATAATTTTTTTTTCTTGTCAGTCTTTTGTAAATACCACATTTGTGGAGTGCATACTGAAAGAACAATAGTTGTCTTGTCAACAGATTATCCCACCTGAGCTTAAGACCTCTGCAGCTCCTCCAGATTTACCATGAACGGATTTTCTCACGAATGCTCTCCTTTCCCACTTTGTCAGTGATTTGTGATTTTTTTTTTTTCAGAAGTAAACCCTTTTTTTGTGGACAGAGCATGACGAAATGTATAGACAATTTATTGTACTACAGTTTTTAGATTTAACACAAAAAAAGCACATTTCAATTAAAATAAATCTATAAAATGAAATGTTTACTGTTAAAGAAAACCATCAGCAGATTATAGTCACAATCTCATGCCAAAATGACTCAGAGACACCACTGCCTCTTAGCCTGATTACTTTCAGCTGCAGAACTGTGTAAGAGACAGTTTAGTAAATGTGCACTAATTTACTCATCCTTGGTGCATCAACAAAACCTCTTTGTACGTAGAAGACCAGACAGGGCTATCAGTTTATATCAAGTTCTACAGACATATTTTTTTCTTTAAAACCGCACATTGTGTGAAATCACACTGCCTATATAGATTTAATCCAGCTCGATGTTAGATAACCTTTTTTTACAGCTTTTGCAGTGTTTGTATCTCACTCAATACACTCCTTAGGTTGCTCCATCTGGAGTCTCTGAAGCTGCAGGCAATTTCATCTCCTTTTTGCCAGGTAGATTTTACTGTGCATAGAGGAACAAACGTCAGAACTATTTTGGACAAACTGGTGAAGAAAGATATCAGAACCACCCAGCGAGTACAACGACTCCTTTCCTCAGACACCGCAGTGTGTGCCCCGGCTTATTCAAATGTAGCTCCACATCCAGCCAACGACGTAACTTTGAGCTGCACATATTCTCAAATTTACGAGTTCTGGTATAAAAAGTCAAATCAAGCAACAAGTAGAAACGTGTTTGTAAAGTCAGGAACTGCTTGCCAAAGTGTTATTTTAATTACTGCAAGCTGTATTTTGGTCTCCTTTCTTAGACATTTACTTGGTTTTTGAGTTAAAAATGGAAATTTAAGAGAAGTAAAGAAATGTTAACAGTAAAGAAATGTTGAAATATGAACTAGAGTTGAACTTTGTGTCCCTTTATCTCCTACCTACTAACAACAGAAGCTTTATCCCATAAGTATTGGTCAATATTGTTGTTTTATGTTATAAAAGCAGCTCTAGAAAAAAATGAAGAAACCACTTAAAATGATCAGTTTCTCTGATTTTACTTTTTGTTCCTTTTGTTTGAGTAAAAGGAACATTATTCTTTTATTTTATAAACTACGGACAACATGTCTCCAAATTCCAAGCAAAAATGTAGTATTTATTTGCAGAAAATGAGAAATGCTCTAAATAAAGAAAAGATGCAGTGCTTTCAGACCTCAAATAATGCAAAGAAGACAAGTTCATATTCATTTAGAAACAACAATACTAATGTTTTAACTCAGGATGAGTTCAGAAAGCAATAACTGGTGGAATAATCATGAGGTTTTCAGTGGGGTTCAGTGCAGTGAACTTAATTTTTCCAAGAGCTGTAAATATATCTTTAAATATAATAATAAATAAAAAAAAAACATTTAACTGGTGCAGTGAAAATATGCCTTTCAGGCCACAACAAGCAAAGGACATTTTGAGAGTTTGGTTCTGTTTAGTCTGCATATTTTCTATCAGATTGAGCGAGAGAAAGCCTTGGAGGGGTTTCCTACCTCAGGCCGGACTGACAGGGCCGTATTGAAAGCCTCTACAGCTTTGTTGAACTCTCCGCTGAGGTTGTAGAGGACCCCAAGGCCCGTCTGTAAATCCGGGTCAACGCTGTCCGAGTTGTTCTGAGCTGCTTCCAGGAAGAGCTCCTTGACCTCTGGCAGCAGTGAGCTGAGAACACACACGAGCAGAAACACACACACACGTGCGCACACACACACACACAGGGATCAGGATTAGTGTGACTTAGAGCTGCTGCTGCTGAGTGAGCGCTGTGAAGTCTGTAAAGCTCTGCTGTACAATGTGGGAACTTTCATTCATAAACCGATTCATTTAATAGGAACAACTAAAAGCACAAACATGTCATTATTATTAATATTTTTACAGTTGGACTCTGAGGCATTGAAGCAAGATGATATTCTGACTGAGGCATGATGTGTAAGTACAGGTGAGGCCACTGTGTGATGTAAACCAACCCATTCTTTCACACCTGTTTATAGAAGCTGTCTGCACACCTAGCTGCGGGATTTTATACACGTCTGGTCATGGAGGCGAACTAAAACGTTTAATTTATCAGCCTGGATATCTTGGCACATTTGAAAACGAATGCTTTTTAAAAAGCTGAATTGAGTCTTGCCTTGATCATTGTTGCAGTTTTTGATGTTTTTCACAAGTTCTGCTGTCTTTTTATGTCTATGCCACCAGACTGGTAAAAAATAAACAGTAATTAAGAAAAGGGACGGGCTTATTCCCAGGTCTTAGAAGCAGTAATTTTCTGTGAAATATGGTTAAATTTAAAACCGTTCATTTCTATGATAACCAAACAGAAAACCCTGACATGAACCTAAACAAATAAAAGTTCTGCAATGTGAAAACGTCTGATTAAAAAGGTTGATCCTCACATTGATATGCAGCACTGTTTTTGCCTATTAAAACAAATAATTAGGCATTTACGGCTGTCTAAACCTAGAAAATTAATGTGCAGATAATTATATTATTGATCACAGCAGATTGTTAGTCATTCTCTTTTTTCTGTTTCCTCAGTGATGTGAGGACTCTCAACTTTACATATTTATATCTGCTTCTGTAATTGCTTCAATATGTCTAAATTTTTAAATTGAATAAAGTGAATCAATATTTATAATTTCATAAATATGTTAATTTATTCATGCATTAATTGTTTATTAATCTTGAAGCTAATTAGAAGATAAACCAATAAGACATTAGGCCAACTATTTTTCTTTTACACAATTAACAACACGTGGGGGAAATAAGATCCTCATTTGAATAAGTAAATTAGAAATAGAATGAAGAAAAAAAGAATAAAAAAAAAAATGAAACTCTCCTCAGAACTATTTAGCCATTGAGGAAAGACCATCGTATCAAAGAGTGTTGCTGTCTGTCACTTTTAGGACTATCCATGTTGGATCAGGTCAGGTTCTCTACCTTTCGTGTCGCCCCGCGTTGAGAGCGTAAGACATTCTGCGCTGAGAGTTGGGGGAGCCTATCAGATGGGTCTTGGCCTTCAGCAGGTTCTTGTACTTGGGATTGTGTTTCAACCAGCGGAGCAGGGCCTCACAGGCGTCATGGCGCATGCCAGTGTTGGTCAGGCTCACGGCCAGAGCCATGAGGGCCGGTAGGTTGTTAGGGTGGAGCTCCAGACACCTGGACAGAGACAAGGAGAGCGGGTGTAAAGTGGGACTTCAAAGAGAAATTTAGATGTGACAAGCATTAATTGGGACCGGTTGAAGCAGAAGCACATCAGGTCTGGATGAGCTGCGACTCTTTTTGCCCTGCATTCTCCACAGAGGAGCAGGTTTTTCCATGCTGCCCGCACCTGCTTGATTTGAATTAACTTTGCATTTATGCAAACTCTCATTTGGTGATGTTGCAGGAGATTGGAAGTGTCTCTGCTGTGGTTACTGCAGTTATATCTTCAAAATATACCACTGAAGAGCTATTGTTGGTTTTGTAAGAGGAAAGGAAAGTGGACCATAGAGCTGGAAGAAGGACTTGGATTAGTTAAGAGACTAGGTGAGAGGCCAAAACAAGATTTGGCTTTCATCAACATTCAAGCCTGATTTGCTGCAGTTTGTCTGCCAACTTCCTTAAAACCATCATAATCCCAGACCTACTAAATTATTCCAGCCTCCTGCTGGGAACTGTTCTTGGCTAAGCTTGCACACATGCAATGTTTGAATACAAAAAAACACTTAAAGAAATGTGTTTTTTATTTTTTTTGAAGAAAAGATAAAGCTAGGTCTGTCTGTTTCTTCACACTTTTTATGGTTTGTTAAGGACAGAAATGCTTGTCATGTCTGGGAATTAATCATTCATGTTTTAACTTATTTAGCTACGCACAGCAAGTGCTTGTGTTGTGCAGAACTTTAATGATTAAAAACTAAAAACTATTCAGACAGTAAGTTTTTGTAATCAGATGCAAAATAGCAACGCGATGGCTGCCAGTTGATAAAGATCAGTGTAGCAACAGCAGGATTAATGCCAGAAAAAAAAAAAAAGAAAATCTAATCTCACTTCAGACCAAACTACTCCTCACAGATGGAGTGATTACATAACAATCAAAGTCAATACGAAGCCAGCAAGCAACCTGAAATTTGAAAGGTGCTCATATGCAAGGAAGACTATTTTAGAGGCAGAAAAATAACTATTGATCTGCTTTCTAATCAGTTCAGTTTGAACCTAAATGATCTGCTCATCTGACAAAAGAATAAATTGATGAAATACTTGGAAAATATGGATTATTTCTCCTCAGCAGCATCTTTACTTCACTTGTCAGTCTTCAAACTCTGGGAAAGGTGCAATTTCTGACTTCGGCAGAGTTGTGAATGAAATTGGGCCACCTCCCATTGAGGAATCCAGTCAGGGCCCCGACTTTTGCAATCAAAGTCCAAGCAGGGTTCCTCTAGTTTAAGAATAGGAAAAAATTACATAAATTGTTCTTCCAATATGGTTTAAGGCAATTCAGTAGAAACTAGTGGAGGCCTTATGCTTTTTAGCGCTGTGGCTGCACGTCCACTTCTTACTAAGATATTCACAGGCCTTTTACTTTTTGTCGTTTTACGTTTTGTCATGTTACAACCTCATCTTTCATTGTATTTATTATAGGTGGCTCTATTCAGTGTTGTCTCAGGTAGGCTGAGTACAACTGCACATCATAGTTTTCTGAGTATTATTTGGAAAACAAATTTCACCCTTCTATCTGTGTGCTTATTTGTGTTGGTTTATCACATAACATATCAAGAAAATACATTAAATGTATAGTTGAAATGTGACAGAATGTAAAAAAAAAAAAAAACACCATCCAATTTATGGTACTTTGCAAAGGTCTTGGTGCCCATTTATCTCTAACTCCAGCTGTATGTGCATATTGTCAGAAAGCCTGTATAAACCTCTAAGCAAATATGAAATCAGGTTCTTCTGTTATTTTTAGATTTCAGATCAGAACTGAACTCAGATGTTTCTCATTACCTTTGGAGGGAGACAATTGCCGCCTGCTCATTTTCATTTTCTGCCTGTGTTGTCCCTAAGACTTGCCAGGCCTGTAGGGAAACAGAGAATACAGATATCAGTAAATAGCAGGAAGGAAAAACCACAGCGTGTCTTCTCAGGGGGGGTCAAACACAGAAGGAATAAAAAACAGAGATCTGTCACGCAGCGACTGATGCTGCCGCTGCAGATCAACTAGCTTACATGAGCTGCAGAGCTTATCGACGACCACAGCTGAGCATTTCGTTCCTCTTATTTGAAGAAATGTACCTTTAGTTCATTTGTCTGATTATTTCAGCTTCCCAATTTCATTCCCCACCCCCCATCTCATTTGGATAATTAATTGTTTAAAATCTTGATTAGGTAAATGCCTATAAGTCAATTAAATCTTTTTGTGAACGTTTTTAACCATGTAGGTAATAAAAGCAATTACACAAGCACCAAATCTTCAGTGGATAAAAGATAAGAATCTTTTTCCTTTGAATGATGGATCCTAATTTTCCCAGTTCAGAAATAATTTTGCCTTGTTGCCTGTTTTTTTCCCCCAAATGTGATGAACAAAAGCGGACATCAGATTTACTTTAACAAACTACAAGATGTGGAAAATGGTGCAATAGCAAAACCAGAGCAAATACATTTCATCAAACTGCTCAAATTAACCAAAGAATGCCTTAAATTTGAACTAAGAAAAATGAAAAGTAATTGATTACTTTAAAACTTATAGAGAAACAAACCCGAAGTGCACAAAATGCCATGAATGCAAAAATCTGATGACAGTTTGTGTTTCAGGAAATTGTAAAGATAAATAAGATGATTTGCATTCAGTGTCTATATCTACCTTGGAAAAATAAAGCACTTTGGTATTACAGCTTTACATACAAATTGCTGTGTTGGCAATTCTTTTTACCGAGGCCTAATGTTTGCAAAGTCAAGGAAGAGAGCCAGCCAAATTAATCAGCAGTAGACCGACAGATGAGATCAGCTTTGGCTTCTAACTCCTTGAGAAATACAAGTATAATAACTTCTTAGGCAAATTTCAGGGATTGTATATGATCCCATATAGCTAACAGGGAAACATGACTTGTACCAGTTCCTGAAGAGCTGAGGAAGTAACTCATTTTACAGGAAAACTTTATTCTGCTCTTTAATTTAGCAAAAAGAAAAAGATTTAACGTTCAATGATAAGTTTGAGTGTTTTTTTTTATTATTTTTTATATATGTCTGACTAAAATTGTTCATTTTCATATGACCTCAGTGATTTTGTCAGGGTGTAAACTAAACCCTTCAACAGCAGCACTAATTTTATTTCCATTTAAATGTCCTGTCTTCCAGAAACAGGTTCATGTTCTCATATTTTTAAAGGAGAAATGGTTAATAACTACAATGCCTTGCAAACATATTCACACCCTTTGAATGTTTTCACACTTTGTCACATGAGTGGGATTTTATGTGACAGACAGAGTCAAAACACAAACACACAGAGGCTGCAGATGATTGCTAAGTAGAAAGAAAATGATTAAACATGTTCAACAAACGGCAATCTAAAAACTATAACGTAATGGTACGTTCATTAACTTATTTTGAAGGTAATCTCTGACGATGCCGTTTTGCTTGACTCTTTGAAACGAGGGGCAAAATTATTTCTGAATGATCCACGGTGGGGCAATAAGCCACTAAGCACCCTGTGAGGAATTTGGGAATCGTATTAGTTCCATACACCACAGGATAATCCTCTCCTTGGAGTAACGGGCACATTTCTGTATGTTCCAGGGGACTCTGAAAGCACTCTGTGTGACGGCTATGCTCTTTGAGCTTGCAAAGAGGTCACTCTTTTAGTAAAAAGAGGAAGATTTAAAAATATACTAGAATGAGCTACTATTCAGCTCGTTGAGCAAATGGAAGCCCTGATGAGGAGCAAGTTGTGAGCTCCAGTAAACACTCCTGCTGCAGGCAATCAGCGTCAGGCCTGTGGATGCTGTCTGGTAAATCAGCTTCACACAGCCTGTGGTCAGGCAGGCGCTCTTCCTATGCAGCTTCTCACCACATGAGGTGGAGAAGGTGGGGTTGGACTGTGATTAAGGTATGCAGCTTATCCAGGTGCTGGCTGCAGTATTTCTCGGAGTCAGTGCAATAAATGTTCCCTCCTTCTCCTCCGATAAAAATGCATGCGTAAATATGAACGTCCCCATGGTTAACTTTGGTAGTCAAATAGGGCAAAGAGCAAACAAACCACAAACCAAGGTGTGTGTGTGTGTGTGTGTGCTGTCTTGTGTGCTAAATGAATTCACCTCTGAATCATGAGGGTCCTGCAAGACCGCTGCTTCGAGCAAAAGCACAGCGTTTGGCAAGTCTCCCTCGCGAGATTTCTTCAGTCCCTCCTCAAATGCATTAGGCAAGTCCTTATAAGGATTATCTGTGTGGAAGTAGTAACCCTGTCAGCAGAGGAGAAAACAACAAAAACAGGGGCAGAGGCAATGTCAGTTTTTCCCCTTCACATGAAAATGCACACCAATGCAGCGATCCTGTGCTGTTGATTTTTAAGTTAGGCTCCAACAGGAGGCATTGATTTTTTCCCCCCCTTTCTGCTTCACATCAAACCTGTGAGGAGCTCCTTTGGGTTCGACTGTTCTCTTTAAATGTTAAACCTTGCATTTTTTTCTTTGTCAACTTGGATGAACCTACTCTTTTACATGCATTTGTCCTTGATGACTTTGAAATTGCTTTTTTCTGTAAGATCTGACTTTGTGCTGGGAATCAGAAGGCCCATAATGCTAATCTCATGGGGTTTGCTTTTATGAGAAGGTCAGTTCATGGTTGAATGGTTCAGGAATACTCTGGTGTACAGTAGGTGCTTTTACATCCATTTCCAATGTAATAAAATTAATTATATATTTGGCAAGCAAAAAATAAACTAATATTAATATATGAAGAGCTTATTTCCAAAACATTGATAAAGTTTCTGATATTTTTAGAGCCTTTGGCAGCATAAAATTGAGGATTGTTATTTTATATTTAAGCCTTTGGCAAGTCTAAAGGCTGCTGTAATATTCATGCCTTGACTTTTGAGTTTCAATATTGACTTGGACAAGTTTTAGAACTCGGGCAAAAAATAGTCAAAATCTTATAAATAAATGATAAGATTTCTTTATAAGATTGTATAGAAAGCAAAACAAAACAATGAATAAACAGGTTTGTGTTTCTATACCAACTGAAATGCTTGAATCATTTATTAATTACACCATTTGACAAAGGTTTACTGTAGTTTGACTGTAATTATTTCGAATCACCTGTGCTACAGAGCATCAGACAACAATTTAGGAGCCCATAAATAAACCGTAACACCTGATTTGTTAAACTGAATGGCGACTCGTCTGCTTGGATGTAGATGCTTTGGCCTCCATTGGCAATGCTGCAAATATGTTACTGTGCTGCTACAGAAAGTTATGAAAAAAACCTTTTATTGTTTCATTTTTAAACTACATATAAAATTAAAAACGTAAATAATGGTCAATAAATGACTCATTTCGGTATTGCATTGTGGCTCTTTAGGCTCTTAATATGCATTAAATTAAAATCCTAATGTGAGAACTTTGTGCAGCTCTTTGTAAATAATGCATCGCTTACTGCAGGTGTGCTGTGACTACATGAATCGTTTTAAGACACCAAATCAGAACAGATTTCATCTCAAGGCAGTTTACAAACATACAAATTACACATTTATTTACATGCATCTCAGTTTAACCCCGAGTAAAACACAACGTGGTTTAATTTGACTCATAATGTCAATGGATTAAAAATTGTCTGTCTTAAGGAAGGAGAGCTGATCTTATTGAGTTATTGCCAACAATGTCTCCTTCTGATCAAACATGTGGCTGCAGTGGAAATGGATGATCGTTTTAAATGTCTTCTGCACATTTTCTTCACCATCTGGAGAGACTCCTGCACACGGATGCTGTAAAACATTCTGACCTTTTCATGTGGAGATACAGATGAGGGTATTTGTGCCTGCTCGTTTTCTGTCAGCCAGTTTCGTCGGGCCAGTTCTTCCCACTCTGCCTGCATCTTGTCCCAGAACTCTGTATCTGACTGCAGACATCATACAGAGGAAGCAGTGGAGGATTACGGTTGGTTAGATGGGGAGAGAGTGCAAGGTGACAGCGGGGAATGACTGATTAGTGTGCTGTAAAACGAATGCTCCTGTTAGGTTTTCCATCACCTGGAAATGTCACATTTGTCAAGATTAGCGAGTCTTTGTAATTTATGGACTTCGCCCTCCGTCTGAGTTATACTTATATGTCAAAGTGGAGCTTAAAAAAGTTTGTTAACCGAAAACAAAGATATGGATGAAAAAATAAAGTCCTTTAGTAATTGAGCAGCAGGCAAATAAAAAAAGGTTATTTAATAAAATAAAACACAATATATTGAAAGTCTATGTGTTAAAATGATGGCCTTAAAATATATAATGTAATGTTATTAAGCTCTATAATCATATTCTTATTATAGAATGAAATATAGTCTAAAAATATCTTAATTGCAAATGTGAAAGCATCCCAACCCAGGACTGTACGGTCTCTACCAGCTTGACATTTGAACTGTTATTTGCTGGCATTTAATTAGCTGCTAACAGAGCTGAGGTTCTCTCTTGATGGGCAACCTGTCAGTTTAAGATGCCAAATCACTTTCTGCATTCACGTTTCATCTTTATGTTTGGCAGAGAAGCAAATCCTGGACCTTTGAGAAAGATGAGCCTTTTCTTCATGAGCCCTTGTCTTATAAAGCCTCTGAAACTTCAATATGAGACATAAATGAAATGTTTTCAGGTTGAATCCATTATTTCCATGTATTATAGTCTGAAATCTTTCCATTTGTACCCCGTATGAGGTTTAGACTGATTCAGTAAACAACGTTAAGAGCGAAGGCTGTGTTTAATTTTATTTAATTAATAGCAGACTTCATTGTAATTTAAATACTCTTTAAATGCATAATAGTACTTTGAATTGAAAATATTTAACCTACTTAATGTGAATTTGTCTACGTCTATCACCAGTAAGCCGAAAGACCTTAGTGTAATATTTTACAAACTCAAAGCAGATATTGTTAGAGAAATGTTTCTCTGAAGGAAGATCGACTCCGATTCAAACCGGCATCAGATGAGCATGAATCAAGTTTTTTGTGTTTATACATTTGAACACTTCTTAATGAGTGGTCCCCTCTCTTTTTGTGCATATTGCTGCCACTACAGATGCTTTTGCTGGCAATGAATAGCCACAGCTTTTTCTTTTCCATCTGGCTGGCTCCATGATTTTCGGATGTCTTCCTGTCAGAAAGGAGAGCGAACCGGGAAGAATGAAGCCAAGCAGAGCAGAACAGCCTCGTCATGTGACTGGCTGACAAAAGCCTGGACTCCATCAGTACATGACGGATCAAAATACAGTCACTGTGTGTGCACTGATGCTGCAGATGCTGCGTGAAATACAGATTTATATATTTACACAGTAAGAAGTCAGGAGTTGAGGTGAGATGACATTAAATCCTCCACATGATTGATAGTGATGGTGTTTACCTTACTTTGATTTTAACATCTTTTGCAATTTGAGAAACTTAAATAAATAAAGTTAAAGTTCATTCCATATCTTTATTCACTAAATATTTCATTCTGAGTATTGTTGCAGGGTGTATAATGCGAGTTATCCTTTAAAGCAGATTTGTTTTAGTGCTTTGGTGGAACCATCACACATTGCATCTCATTTGTTTCTGATTGCTCTTAATCTCCGTCCTGATGCCTGTTTTAATGATTTTCATGCAGCAGCTATTATCATTTCCTTAATGCTTTTCATTATTCCTTACAGTGCCGTGGGCCCGTGTTTGCACTGTGACTTAGTTCATCGTCTCATTACTTGTATCTTGTCAATCTACCCTTCCTCTAATCACATCGTATGATGAGATGCATGTTTAAAATGGAGTGAGTGTGCGGGCATGTTTTTATTACAAATATGTTTCCTTATATTGCTGTGATGTTGTTTTTAACACTGGTGCTGACAGTTTAATTAAGGGAAACAGAGCATAAACACAGTGAGAAAATTTTAATCCGGTGTCTTACTGGAAAGAGCCCATAGCTCTGACTTTTAATCTGAGCTGCTCCGAAGGAGCTTCCAGCCAATAAACATGTCACAACTGGTTAGAAATTAATTGGTAATACCTACATCATGATTAGTGTGGCTTAATCTGCATAGGACAGACAGAGGGGACACATGCAGCCAAAGCAGATTCTCACTCTCAACTACAATCCATGTCAGGTGCATAGAAACTATTTAATTTTCTAAATTTAAAATTAAAATATAATCAGACCAAATAAAACATTTTATAATCCAGAAATGTGAGTTTAATGAAAAGTATCATTCTTATTAGCTTAAAGGTTATCTTCAAAATGTACTTTTAAAATAAGAATTGAGTCTCATCAGAAAGAATAATGTAAATCATTGAATGTGACTACACATCCTCAAACTAATTTAAATGCACAGGGTGTTAAAAGATTTGCATGACCATATACAGTGGTCACATTATTAGAATACCATTGTGGAGGATTTTCCAGTAATCTTATCCTTTTACTTTCATTAAAATATCAATGCATAAACCCAGCACTGCAAAGCGACCCCTGTTTTTGCCTCATTAAGCATTGCTCCCCATTCGTATACTGTACTCCCAAAAGGAATTGGATGAAAAGCTTTGTTAGAGCACAAATGAGCCTTTTCACCATCCACATTAATTTGGTCCAAGAGATAAAACCTAACATTCTGCAAAGCCAGCTGTCATATATAAACTTTATGTTCACCGGCTGCCAGACAAGAACAAAAAAAACAAAAAAAAAAAACATGGTGTATAAAGAAACTTCACAAAGAAAGAACCTCAGCAACGTAAAGTAAAAATAGAAAACTGCTGTTCATTCGAAGTGCGATTTCTTTATTCTGCCAGCGAAGAAGGCTTGGAGACATGAGAGATTTTTAATAGTAATCTTGTTTTGATAAACACACAATTATTGTTAACATTTTATGACCTAAGTTTCAAATGTCCGTCTGGACATTTTTGTTTATCTTACTCATAATCAGTTCTTTAAATGTCCTGTGAGTAAATATATATTTGCCTATTTATCCATAACAACTGGAACTTTCAATATATAGCAAGTTATTTTCACAATTTACTGTCTATTAAAAGAGCGCTTCTCAGATTAATTTCACTTCATGCCACGGCGGGGGTGAAATAATCGTTTTCCAGCCGAGATTGGCTGGAAAACTCGACGTCTCCCCTTTCAGAAACCTTTGGAATATTTTATGGTACTGCAAATTTGGTTGGACCGTCAGCATTCAGTTCGGTCTGGAAGGATTAAAGAATTAACAAACATTTGCATACATTGTAACTCCTGATATATGAATCAATCCGGATAAATACATCAGCTCGGGATTTGTTCTGATTCATGAAAGTCCTACTAGAAAACGTGTTTATTTGGCATTCAACTGTATTCAACTGTGTTATGCTAGGTAACCTAAAAGTTTTAACATTAAACATCAACTTTAATTATTTCAAACTGAGTCAGAGTCTCTGGAGCCAAGCAAGTTGTTTCTCGAGGTTACTTATTCATATTTTGCCCAGGGAGCATACTTAAGAAAAAAAATGGGAAAGTCTCATTATTTACTGGTGACACAGCAGCCTCATGATGGGGAAAAAAGTCCTTTTCATCTGCAGCGCAGGCCTGGCCTGGCCTTTTAATGTTAATGAGCTACCCGCTGCTATGCTGCACAGGGCAAGTCCTTGGTCAGCAGGACAAAAATAGGAAGCTGGAGTCCTGATAATGTCACTCAGAGGAGAATAAAACATCTCCTTGGACAAAATACTACAAAGCCATTAAAGAAGGGAATAATAAAACTTTGGAAATGTCTTTCAGGAGCTGACTGTGTGCTTCTGTTGTGGACCATCATAAAACCGTTGTAAAATGTTGTAAAATCAATCAAAACGTCAATAAATGTCTGATCTTTTATTCTCAAAGACTTGGAAATCATCCCCAAAGATAAAAGGTCAAATACCACTGAAAACATGCAAAAAATTGGTAAGTATAAGAAGAACAAACAATTTTTCTACACGACTGATTACTGCTTAATTTAATTGTTTAAAACCTGGTTTTAATGGCCGTATGCTTAGTAGGAACCGTTTTCATTAGTTCCAAATTACAAATTATGTATTTTGAAATTACAGTTTCTATTCTATTCTATTCTATTCTATTCTATTCTATTCTATTCTATTCTATTCTATTCTATTCTATTCTATTTTTGAATATTATTTAATAGGTTTTTCATGGTTGCCTCCATGCAAATAAAACAGTTTGCAACAATAATACAACAATATGATGGACGACAAAGAAGAAAATGAAGGTCAGACGAGATGACAGGCAAATAAGAAAACAGTGAAGACTCTGAAACTCTGCAGAAAAAAGAAGAGATACAGTCTTTAGAGAACTGTATTTCTTCTGCAGTCCCAAACCGTTTGACAATGTTCTAAATAACAAAACTAAATCTCTCCTGTTGTCATTTTATACAAAAAAAGGACTTACGGTCACCTTTCTCTCATTTTATCACTGGTTTGGGAGTATTTTTAATTGTCCCTCAGTGTTCTTCAAAGTCATGCTTTGGCTGTTTCAGTGATTCCATGAAAGTATTTTTCACTGTCACCACCTCATTTAAAATGCACAGCCATTTGCCTTCTTTAAATATCTCCTCATCACCTTCCTGGAACAGGAATTCAAAGCTGAGCTCCATCTCTTGGATCACCACCCTTTCTCCTCCCTTCTCCATTGATTTTTATGTATAAAGACATAAAACCTTACAGTTTCTTATCAGGGGCGACTCTGTAAGACGGAGCTAATACTTCTGAGAATAATTCTTTGTCTGCTGCCTCTCTGGGCCCTAATTTCCTTATGTTTGTCTGGCTCTTCTAAGACCAATGGATTAAAGTGAAAAGCTCGGTGCTGATTTAATATTCTCTGAGTTATCTCTTCTAGGATTCCTAGATGAATGTGAAAGGGCAGGAGTATGCATTGCCTTTTAAATTGGAGTTATGTGATGTGGGCTTTGGACACTTCCAAAGAAAGCAGAAACATTAAGACTCCTCGCAGCACAACTTATCCACAGAGGAAGCTGAGGATGAAGGATACAGTTACAAGTCGATGTTGTTCAGGAGCATTTTGTGATGTCATCACTCACCTACCATGTGTGTTGATTTTGTGGATAGTTTTTGTCTTTTGTCTTGAGACATCATTGCTATGTTTGAAAAGGGATTTCGTTCTTGGTTCTTTTGGACTATTTCCTCCTCTCTCTACCCCCTTCCTGTCTGATTACTGCTACATAAAGGCAACTAGAGCCAAAAATAAAAGAGTAAAAAGAACTGGGTAAAAATTAAAAGTAGTACTGTTTCATGTAATTTATAAAAAAAAAAAAAAAAAAGTAAAATTATGTGCAGATTCCTGATCTCAGAATAATAAAATCAAAAAGGAGTCAAATAAATCACATCACTACACTAACAAATCCAATCAGTGATTTTCACAACCCAGGCACAAACACATAAAAAACCCACATTCCTATACAGCTGAAAATATTTGCTGTTAATTTTTCTCAACACGACTATTGGATCCTCATAGTAAAAGAGTTTCTGTCAGATTCATCAGAACTCTTCAAGTTTACTATCTATTCAGCTCCCTGTGGTTTCTGAGATGTCTGACTGAAAATGACAAACATATTTACTTTCTTAGCGTTAGCTGCTGAAATCATGGATATATTTCTGGGTCAGTAATCTCATGAAGTTTAGGGGGAGGATTTAGCATTACTGTCAGCTTTCGCCACAGGGGAAAGAACAATCTAAGAGGTAGAAACAGGATCATTTGTCTGAGGTGTAAAAGGCTGGAAGAGTTGAAAAGGCAACAGCGGGAAGATTTCCACAGGATCAACAGACGATATGCAGTTTAGTTAATATGGCTCAAAAATCCTCTTACAGAATCTCTACAGAGATTCTCTTTGATTTTCTAATAAGGTAAATAATAAATATGTTTCAGATTGATAAGATGTCTGTGATTCATCAGTTATGTGTGTGAGCTAACTGAAACTGTACCTAAAAGAGAGTGACAATTTTCAGGGGCTGGTTTGATCAACACCTGACTGTGTTCTGGTCCAAGAAGCTCTGTTTCATTAATTACACCTGGTGGCAAGAATGACTCTTTATAATAGATAAAAATGTAATAAATAAGTTAGATTTTATTATCATAACAGACTTATGACATTTTACAACTTTTATCGCCAAATAAATAAAGGCTTCTGTGGTTGTTTTTATAAAGCTATTTTTAAATAAATTATTACACTTTTTTATATGGTCTAAATAAGCTATCACATGGGGTCATAACTGTGTGTACGTTTCCAAAGTCGGCCGTCTTGTTGAAATTTTAAATTTTTAAAATACAATTCCATATTTGACCACTAGTTGGCATCAGAACAATGCAGGAGTCGAAACTTTGGAGCTGAATTTTGTTACATTACAGGATAAAAAGTTAAATATATCAGCTCAACATTTAATGGTGTTGAAAAACCATCCATATAGTCAAACAATGCACATTAAAAAAATTAATTTGTTTTCGTTTCTTTTTGGGGGGGGTTTAAATTGGTGGTGTAATTGTAAAGAAAAGGCTTTAAAAATAACAAAAACAAAAGACTAGATAGGACTATAAAATATAAGATTTGAGCTTCAAAAGTAAAACAGAAAATATGTTTTTTAAGCATTTCTTCTGCAGGGACTCATTTGGGAGCATTGGGTGTAAAGTGTGAGCTTTATTCGTAGTTTAACCCACAGAGTTAGTATTGTTTTTGTTCCTTAAATAAACAAGCCATAAATATTGTTGTTGTTAAAAACAACAACAAAAAAACAGTTTATTCTATTTTCATCATTATTCCATCTCCTAACTTTAAATAATATATCCCTCACAAGGACATTACACAAGTTACACAAATTTTATCTGCTGGAAATTGAAAAACCATCTTGGCGATTCGTGTTAAATCTCATTAAAAGTTGGCGGGGAAGATGCCTTGCTTTTGACAGGTGACAGATGTGAGCAATAGCACCGAGCTGCACACGGCTTACCTCAACAGCAGCCTTGGCTCGCTCAAACTCCTCCTCCAGGGACTGATGTCTTGACAGGAGGGCGCTCCCCCAGCGCTGCTCCTTCGTTAGACGAGCCTGTCTCACACACACACACACACACACACACACACGCATACACACATTTCATGATATAAACATTTATGCCAAGAAAAGGTCTATTACACGTACACCTTTACATTCACGTAGCACATCACAGCACACACGCGCAGCCAGAGGAAAAGGCGGGTGGGAGAGTGTGCAGGGTCAGCCGTTGCAGCTTTCTCAGGGCCCAGTAAATATTCCTGCCTCAACAAAGCCTCTGACATGCTCAGGAAGGATGGCAGAATCACTAATGTCAGCAACCACCGCCAGCGTACATCCCCACCACCCGGTCCACATCTGAAAAAAACTGGCTTCTCTTAATTTCATCCTCTACCCAAGCCTGGCCCAATTTCTGTGCACCTGCACATGCAATAATAATAATAAAAAATGACACAAGCTGATATATTTTCTGTGACAAACTTAGATGCAATGCTTTGTCCTGCTTTGAAAAAAAAAAAAAAAAAAATCATCCAGTTAAGTCCATACATGTAGTTTGGCATTGTCAGACTGCAGTGTAATTTCCATTATTTTTATTACAAATCTGCTCTAGTAAATGGTTTTCAGATAACCCCTCATGTTCTGGTATGATATGACACAAGATTTACTGTAAATAGCAAAGGATACATGTATCCCAGGGCAAGTAAATCTATTACAAAGACCAACACTGCTCTATCTTCTGCTTTTATTGCTTGGGAGGTAGGCGAGTTATTACCTGTAGCAATTCCCATCTCTACTGATGGGAATTGAAGTTTAATTTAGGTTGATGCCACTAAATGGATCAGGAAAATAAATAATAATAATAAAAAAAAAAAGCCAATGCATATTTGAAATAAGCAAAAATATCGCCAGATTTAGAGTTTCTGGTGCCCTTTGGGATGGCAAAACGTCATTTTAATACACTGCAGTTGGTGTTTTAAAAAGGAAAAATCCACCCAAAAGGGACACAAAATAGTGAATTTAATTTTCCACATCTTTACAGCTTAATAATCTGTGGACAATATTCAATTAGAAACCAAACAACAGTTTTCATTCGCCTGAGAACAGGACTATTTAGTTACGCTTTAAGATAAAGTTGAGAAATAGAAAATGACTACACTGGAAAGATTTCAGGCTTCTTTTCTTTTATATATACATGTATGATCACACGTCATGTGATCATTGTGTATTTTTTGCCTTTCTTTAGTAAAATACGTAATGTCACACAAATTGCAAAGTGGCAAAATGGAGTAAAAAGACTCTGGCTGTCCTCTTAACTATTGTTGCTAAGTCATGCTTATTTTCGGTCATGGTGCAAACAAAATTCAAGTGCAAATCAAAAGTCATTATAAAGAGGCCATCATTGAGTCATGGGTTTTACTATGGATGCAGTAAAGCAAATCTATGTAGATTATGATTTACCTTTATGGTGAATGCTGACTGTCTTGCTTTTATTTTCAGTAAAAGAAAGTGAACCCTGTGTCTATTCCAGGGTATTAGTGTGGAAATGATTTAAGTTGTATCATTGTACCAGGCTATGCAGTGGTTTAATCCTCATGCATTTAAAATCAAATAAGATTTTGCATTCTTATTATTGATCTAAAAAAAAGTGTATAAAGACTCCATGCCATGTGCCTATAAACACATGAAGCTCTATAATTTAAAGAGGATGCAAGAGTGTTTTATAAATTTTTTATCATGACTTAGGGTGGATTTTTCCTTAAGCTCAAATAATTGAGCCACACAATTGTTGTTAGTTGAGAAATAAATCATGCAAGACATGTTTCCTCTTTTTGCATGCATGCTTTTCCATGTATTTTTATGTATGTGAAGAGGGTGTGTTGGTTTAAGGGCCACTAAGTAGAGAGGAAAACTAATCTCTACAGTATCGGAGTCCCAGATATAGCTTGTAATTCCAAAGTGAAACACATTTCTGTGTTTGTTTATCAATAATCTCCTTCCATGTGGAGCTTCTATCTTTACTCCAAAATCTATTATTCATGAGAGAGGCTGAAAAGGTGATATATGCTTGCTTAGTAGGACCAACACTAATGGGCTCAGAGTAAAGCAGCTAAATAATTCATAGGCTATTAATCTAATAATGGCATCTGGAAACAAGACTCCTTACGTTAACCTACAGAGTGGCGTCAACGAAAAAGAGAAGCACGTTGCGTGACATTTGGACATAAAGGCACCACAAAAGGAAACAGCAACGGTGCATGTCGATTACTTCAAATAACTAAGACTTTGGTCCTTATTGAGATGGTGTCATGCTGTTGAAGTGGTGCAAATGTCTTTTGTTGTTGAAAGGATACATAGGGAGGCTTACATGTCTTCCACTAATATACTGCCTGTTGAGCTGAAATGGAAGAATTGGAGGTGTTAGGACAAAATGATGGGTAAACAGTGACAGAACAGAGTGACTTATCAGACACAAGCTTGGATATACATCACCAATGTGCAGTTGTTAAATAAGTTAAACTCATTTAAAATGTCTAAATGATGATTGCATATGTTAAACTGTTCATAATGATGCACAGTTTAACACACAGAGCTCACGGTAGTGACATTATCTCTCAGCTCTTCTGCTGTAATACTGAGTACTTACTTGTGATGCCAAGGCTGATTCTGGCTCTGCTTTGGTGTTTGCTTCCAACAAGTTCTTATTTGAGTCAGATTGGATTTTACAGTCTATAGACCTACGGGAGAAAAACACCAACATAAGGTGCAATATAGCACGTTACAAGTTATTTTATCTGGGTATTTTTACTTGACACATATGTGATCATTGGAAGTCATTTTGGTCCTTCCAATGCAATTAACCCTTCCAGACCGAACTGAGCAGCGACGATCCAGCCAAATCTGCAGTACCGCAATTCTGCCACATGTTGCGCTATCTGAAAAGTTCCAACGGTTTCTGAAAGGGGAGACGTTGTGCTTTCCTGCAAATATCAGGTTATTACGGTAATTTCAGCCCCTCTGTAGCAGGGAGTGAAATGAATCTGAAGGGCACTGTTTTAATATTTTAGCTGGTTAAATTTTCATGCAAAGTTACCACATTTTCTATTATGTAAAAAATTCACCATGGTATCATAAATCTGTTACTGCTGAAATATATTATTATTGCAAGAAAAAAAATCTATTAGATTACATGTTTTTTTTCCCATTGTTTTATTGTAGTAGGGATAAATTACATATATTGCATTAAGAAAGCATATCAACAGAGTTTTTATTTATAAAATTCCCCTGTAATTTTGAACCAAAATGTGAACATATTTACATCCATCCTTACAGTCCTAACAATGTTCACCTGTCACAAAATCTAGAAATAAATGAAAGTGAATATATATAGAAATATTTGCAATAGTGGAAGCCAAAATTTTTGTGAACATGAGCAAAAATATTTGTTATCTGTTAGGATAGTCAGTTTGTTTTGTTATTATTATGTGGAGAGCAGATTGGTTTTATGGTTCTCATGTTTTTAAGAAAATTCACATCAAAATAATTTTTTTTTTGCTTGTAAAAGACATACTGCCTTAAGAAATTAGTCTTAGCGTGATTAGTATTTTGCCTGCATTGTGCAGATGGTGTTGTGTTGCTTAATGAGCAGAAACTCAGTGTTTATTTTATTATGAGCAGACTGTTTTAGTACAAAAGCCACATCTGTTGCTACTGTAAGCATGCAGACATTACTGATTACTCACATTTCAGCTGACAAGGGAACAGCTTTTTCATATGGGGTCGTATCATAACAAATCATATAACAAGGTCATATCATGCATGACGTGAAGTACAGATTACTGAAGAACGTATTAGGATAATTTTTGTAATATCTTTAATTTGTAGTCAGAACAAAAGCAACCCACCACAAGAACTCATTGGATGAGTTTTTTGAAGAGCGCCGTCTCTCCAGCTTCCATTTTCTGTTGCCATTCTTCTCAGCGTTGGGATTAAGTTCTTCCCATTTATCCAACGATCCAATGGTTACTAGGAAACATAATTGAAATACAGAAACATGATGACAGCCACACAATAGTTTTGACTCAACCTGAAATGAAAAACTGAATCTAAACACAATCATGTTTTGATCATAGTAAAAAGCATGAAACTTTCCAATAAAACATGACCTACAAAATAACCAATTAAGTCTGATGGGTCTTAATTGCCACTGATATTTCACAAATAAAAGAAGAGCTGACATTTTTCTCAAAAGGCTTCAGGACCTAAATCAGTGTCACTCTCTTTGACTTCCAGCACGTTATTACTTATCCCTTTCACCTTTTCAGATGCCAAATGCAAAAGTAATTGGCCCTATCCTGGAAATGCCTTTCAAAATGATAGCTGTCATTACCCTAAATTGGTTCGCCCCCTATGTGGCCTATCCTGAGGATGTTTGAGGTGGCAGAATAATGGAAATTATCGCTGCGGAGGGAAAGTGGCAGAAGTGCAGAGAAAGGCTTGTGACGTTTTTGTGCCTTTAGAGCACAGAGGTGACGTGAGCATAAAGCACTGCAGAGTATTTTCTTTAATGTTTTTCCTTCATTGAACATATTGGCTTAATAAAATTAAAATCATACACAGATTTCAATTTATTTTGTGAGTCAGACAATAGTTGTTTCTAGTATCTTCTTTAAATTTTGATAAACAGCAAACGCTTCACTGTCTCTACCTGACTCAAGCGATGCCCTCTCAGGGTTTCGCATGCTTGGTCCTGTCTGTTCAACTTCCACCTGGATCAGCTCCGTATCATCTGTCTTTTTCTTGTGTGAGCTGTTCTTTTGGCCGTCACCTCGGGACACCAGAGCACTTTTCTTGTCCTTGCTGTTCCTCCTTTCTCCCGGTTCACTGAGATCTAAAAGGTCCAGTGTTGAAGAAAGAACTGTAAGAGCAAAAAAAAAAAAAAAAAGAGAAGTTAGGTTGCTAACATGGCAAGTGCAAACTGTCAGTGAAGAATTTTTAAAACAAAAAGCGATCAGCTTGGTTTTTCAGTAAATAAACTATAAGTTGGGGCATAAACCATTCACTTGGTCGTATAAGAAACAAAGATGAGAGGAAAAGGAAACAGGCCTTCATTGAGGATATTTGATTCTTATTCATTGGTTTTATTGTGATTATGTTAAATTTATAGCAAATTCAACTTTTGTTTTTAAGCTGCAGTGGTCAACTTTTTAAAAAGTTTTTTTTTTTTTTTTTCTGTAGCTATGTCCTGACAGTATAAAATGAGACTGATAATCTATGAAAAACTCAAACTCCTTTGCCTTCTTCCTGTGGTTCTACTGCCATCTGCAGAAATGCACAACACCCTGTCAGAAACAACCAGTCAGAGCTAGGAGGAAGATCTTAGGGCTGACAATCACGCTCATGTACACACCACTCACATGTCTGTCTGCTTGTTTTCTTGGTTATTCATTTTAAAAATGTAATTTACTATCCCTGTAGTGAGGACAGCATTCCTGCTCACTGACAACTCTAATTGAAAGTAATCAGAAGGCTGCTCCTTCCAGATGAATGCTACTGCTAATTTAAATTTTGCTAAATTCTCCATGAAATACATTTGTGTTATTTGTTTCTCTAAAGTAAACAATTTCATATAATTTTACCTGTTTTTTGAAGTTGGATAAAAAATAAAAATGGATTTTATAGAAAGCATGAAAAACAACAACAACAACAACAACAACAACAACAACAACAACAACAACAACAACAACAAAACAACTAAGAATATGTCAACTAAATCTGGATTTTTGTACTCGGTAAAAACTGAAGTATTTGACTTTTATTTCCAAAGATTCTGACTGTACATTTTGTAGAGCGTGAAGGCATAGCTGCAGGCACATGTCTGAATAATTGACATGTTTCTGTTTTATGACAACCAACCAGAGAGCATTTGCTGACTGAAATCTGTGTGTAATTAGAGAGTGTGCTTGCCTTTCATGCCTTGTGCCTTTTAGATGGCGAGGATAATTACAAATCAAAGGAGACAGACTCAGGAGGGTAGTTGTCTGAACTGTTTTCAGTGTTTTAAAACGGGTGCAAGCTGCTCATGAAAACACTGTAATGTCAAAAAGGTTTCTCCATTTCTTGGTGAGACTGGATAGATGCCGTGTTTGCCCACCAATTTGCTGTTTGGTGGTTTAAATGTCCACAAATTACCTGACTCAGAGTGTATGCGCTTGCTTTAACATTTCAGTGTCTATAGATTAAATTAACTACTTCAATCCTATCTATAAAGCATGCCTTTGTCAACTTTGATATGCCACTAATGCCTGTGACAACGACAAAATTGGAACAATGCCATCAATATTAGGAGACCTGCATCCATTTAAAGAGACATTGCAGGAAGTGTGCCAAGCTTAATAATCAGCCATATGCCCTGCATACGTCTCTGCAAACATATCAAATTACAATTGACATCATGGCAGGTTGTGTAATATCACAATTGCAAAGGACTGCTGCTGTTCTTACTTCAAGACATTTAGTTTTGCCTGCATAAAAGTCAGATTTGCTATTGCTTCAATCCTTCATGTAGCTACTATGACGAAAAGATATATTTCTCCACCACAGAGGTTTTGGCAGAAGGCTCTTTATTATTTTGAGATTAAACTTCCTGAGTAGCGTTAGCCATGACTTGTTTTAAAGTCTGTCACGCTCATCACTAGGCAAACAACATGCAAATATGTCACATGGTGTTCAGTGGTTATAGTAAATCTAGTTGGGTAGTGACCCTCTATTACTGGGTAGAAAATATTTCTAGGAAACACCTTTAATTTAATTTTTGTTATCACACACAATCCACCGAACCAATCTGTTTATATGTAGGTGAATAAGGGCTTTTATCTAAAGTATCATCACAGTAGGTAAATGAAATCTATTTACCAAATGGAGAACAATAGCTAGCATTATGCATTATGCGTATAAGGGTTTTCAGAAACAGTGCTGCTCTGGATCTACTGTGGTGTTACAATAAAACTATGCCCTTTATAATACACACTCCTTCTCTATTCACCTTATGTGGGTCAGTAGACCAATTCTGTTAAACTGATGGTTTTGGTACAATGACAGTATTTTTTTCCATCTCATTTCTTTTAACAGGGCATAAATGGCTAGCTAAACTGCAGCTACACAAAGTACTGAGAGAACAGAGACTGATGTCTAATGAGGATAGAAGTGCTTCTGTTTGTGATTCTCTTCATTAATCTTGGCCAACTACAATTTAGCTTTGGAGAAGTCCATGAAAAAAATCTTTATCATGAAAATCAAAAATCGGCATTGTTTTGTATCGTCTAAGACAAGCTCAAAGTTAAAGGTTTGCTGAAAAGAATGGATTATCTGAATTATTTTGTTTGAATTTGATTCTTGTTTAGTTGATGTCAGTGACAGCAGGAGCGCCATGAGGCTGTGAGACAGAAGGCTGAGGGGTTCCCAAAACGTTCTGCTATGTTTTTCTCAGCTGAATCAACATTAGTCAGTGGCCAGTTTAGAAATGACACATGTCGGCTGTGCAAACTGGCTCTGCAAATTATGACTTTGCAGATGGTAGGACTTTTTGATCAGTTACCCTCTAAACCAGGATGTCAGTGGTCTGAATGTTTTTTTGCCCTTTTATAGATTTCCATAGTTTTATCTGTTGCTTAAATGCTGTAAACATTAGAGTAGTGAAGTTTACTAAAAGAAAAAACAAAACAAAACACTGCAAAGAATACAAACATGTCACTTTTTAAATAATCTTTGTAATAATTTGTGTAGAAGTCGTCTCTAGCTGGGACAAACACTAGACACCTCTGGTCAGCGTTTATTACCTCCTTAATATTTCTTACAAGTTAACACAGAAAATCAGAGTAACATGGGAACTCACAGAAACTAACTTGTTTAAAAACATGAGCCAGAAAAACAGTTGGCGCTGGCATTGCATTGCCATTGATAATCCTGTTTGAATGGTGCACATATGCCCCGACTTAAAAAGGCACAATCCATTACTGGCTGCAACACAAACTAATTTGGTGACTGAAAAGCCTTGTTCTGTTGTTGGATTCAAACCTCATGTGAGAATACGTATTGAATAAGTCGCCACAACGAACATGTGGGTGTTCAAATAACAGACATCTGATACATCCAAACAGAAGACAAGCAAATCTCAGATGGCTGATAAAAACATATCAGTTGAAAGCAGCTGCGAGCTTATCGTTGAAGTCCCTCATGTGTTTTGTGTTATCAGTAATTGAACAGAGTGAAAGGAAAAGAACTGCACCGGCTGTGTTGGAAGTCACCGGGCGGGAAATCCCATCACATTTGGTCTCGCAGAGGAAATCGTCGATGGAAGGGCTTAATAGCGGCCGACTCTCTTGTTGCTCGCTCACCAGCTGTAAGGACAAATGGATGAGACCGTTCAGGCTTTCACTTGGCATATTTTTGCGAAACTCTCATTATGTCCTTTGCAGCTTGCTAACATGAAATGAAGATCTGCTCTTTGGGCATGATTCACATAAGAAATTGTCATCTTCGTTTGTTGGGGCAGGTTTGTGGGGAAAATACAGCTTCTTTTTCAATTTTTTACTTTACTTTTTTGTGCAAAGCAAAATCACTGAAATGTTTGTATCAGATGTATCAGAAGTTTATTGTTCTAAATAAACTATTTTAATCCATCCATGAATACTTACACTTAAGGAATATTTTCACATCAGGACATTTTAGACAGACCAATTAACGTGACAATATATATTTTTGGACTGTGGGAGGAAGGTGGAGTACCTGGAGAAAATCAGACATGCACAGGGAGAACATGCAAACTCCATGCAGAAAGAACCCACAATCTGCTGCAAGGCAACAGCTACCAACTGCGCCACTGGGCAGCCCTGTCACTTTTGACTCAAGGTAAAATCCCTCTTGAGCTTGTGCCGTCCTCTTAATCATGCAGTAACCCAGCCTTTCGAAACACGTTGGTAAAAACCAACATATAAAGTGTATCATAGTGTTCAAAGTATGTCAAAAGTAAGTTAGAAACTTACAGTCCAGAAATTATGGTACTTATGTCAACCAAAAATGAACAACCAAAAATGAGAGACAACCTGACTACTAAACTTTACTTACAGCACCCAGGTAAGATGCCCTGATAAGAATCACAGAATGAAAAGACACTTAATGAATGCATCCCTTTACTTAACTTATGTGAGCTCATCTTCCAAACCATGAACCTGCTAACGACTCTCTTTCGCTGTGGGTTTGTCAGTGCAGCAGCAGGATGTTTTGCCTTCTCTATTCAGAAGGCTCAACATATTCCAGGTGCAAGTGTAACCAATTTGCCCACCAATGCAACAAGATTTGGAGGTGAAAATTAGACGGATAAGCCACCACATGCAGTTACGAGCTCGGCCAGATTGACAAAAAAAAAAAAAAATGACAGAATTGAGGGAGCATGCTACTTTCTGTATCTGTTCTTTTGGCTGCTCTCACAAGTTGAATTTTATTAAAGGTGCATGAGGTTTAATTATGAAGGATGAAGGGGTCTGCAACCTGCCATATGGTTCATAAAAACTGCTCAGTGTGGGAATTACAGGTCCACTGTACACTATGTTCATCGAGTAGCTCTGAAAATGAACATCTGGAGTATATGTTCCTGTGTGAGCAATACAGAATAAAGAATCAATTTTAATATCCACAACTTATGGCTTGGGGGTTTCAAATGATTTTCTCTTCTTCTTTTTTAATCGCAGTGAAGGCAGCAGACCCTTTCCATGTTTTTATGAGCTAAAACAAAAAAGGAAATACATTTTGGACAACATTACATGTACTTGCTGATCAAGAACAGTAATGATTTGAAAAAAAAAATAAAATATCTATTTTATAGAAAAAACTTTTTTATACTTTAAACATGTACTATAAAAGGGACTTTTTTGCTTTTTACCAATGTCTCAATTTAAATTTGCTTTTAAATTTCAAAAGTTTGTGTGAAATCTTTTATTTCTCATTTGTGTTTACTCTCCTTACTGTTTTTACTTCAGCTTTTAATACTCTATTCCCTTTAGACAAAATCACATCAATCATTAATGACACCATCAAAAATCATCATGTGTCTCATTTGTTATCTCCTTTTTAATAGTGATGATATTTATACTAAAAATTATTATGAAAATCAAATTTTACTAACATGTCAATTATAAATGATGTTCACAGAAACATGAATAATTAAAAGTCTACCAGGTCATCTTCTAACTCCAACCTTTATGTATTTTCAGTCTTATATGAAAATAAAAGCATGTTTTAACTTGAACAACTTGAACAACTTTTACAACACGGGATTTGGACAGATCTACCTCCTCTTGGCAGAGCGCCTCAATTTCATATTCTTATTTATTTGAACATCTGTTCTAAAATGGGATTTTGGGAGATCTCACATCATCTTGACATCATGCATATTTAAACAAAACGTTTTTCTTTTGTCACTTCAATATACAATTGATATTCTGCCAAAATACAAGCTGAATGATTGGATTCGCTCTAAAGAAAATGGAAATGCAAGTAACACAAATTTTAGATTTGCAACTCACAGCAACCCTTTGAAAAAAAAAAAAAACAGCAGAAGAATATAAACCCAGACAAGGGTCATCCCTTTGTTGTGTGAGAGTCTGTGAAAATGCTGAGCCAGCACAAGTAATTAGGGCGACTGAGGGTTTCTGCTGGTGTCAGAAGAAAGACGTAGCTCACAGGAAGCCTTGCATTGAGAAGGAAAGTTATTTTGCCCTATAGGCTGCTGTATTTTCGCTGAGTCTTTTATAAATTATAAGTAAAATGTAACAGTGTCAGATTATTTATTTAGTTGTTCATATAATGTTTTCTCTGCTAAGTTTGATTTGATTTTATAAGATCAATTTTATGAACATATAGAGAGCCTTGGCAGTGAAAACTGCTAAAGTCTGGATGTGAAAAAAGGATAACAGATACAGAGGTCGGTATGTGCAGCACACTCCTAAAAAAAGACCTCTAAGATGGATGAGAAAATAATCTCAACCTTGTATTATATTACATCTGATTGGACTTTATCTTCAGTATTTATGTTTTAAACTAAGCAATGTATAAATGTGAAACTACATGAGATTGGTTTTTCTGAAAGGACTTTGACAGAACAGTTCATAAATTAAGACCTTTTCTGTTGTTTATCTATTTATACAATTTCAACACCCTGATTGTTTTATTTTTTCGAAAGAAAAATACCTATTTTGGGAACATAAATACAGTATACTTTTATTGTTTGGGGGCACAGCTTTCATAATTAAAGTATTGTACTGTATGTTCCACACTGCTTTTCTGTGTCCAAAAAACAAAAAAAAAAACCCTTCTGTTGTTCTTGTTTCCAGCACATTATTTAAAGCTGTTTACAAGCTGCCTCTTGGCTGACTCATCTATTACATGTCAGCAGCGAACACTTGGAAAACTCAGAGGAGACCTGATGACTGGAGGCAGACAAGCTCTTAATAACGTAAATGATATTCATGAGCCCACATGCTGAGACCAGCTGACTAGATGACAACCAGAAAAAAAAATCATCTGTCTGTGAATAACAATTTGTCTGTGGCTGACATCTGTAAATTACTGTTTGTATTAGATCTATTTTAAATAGTACAATCAATTCTGCAATATTTTATGGGGTTTCTTTTGAGTTGTGGGTTCTGATACGGGTTACATGGCTAACCGCTCGGGGGCGACATCTTGTGGGGGGCGGCATGAGCACTCCCCCCCAGTCGCCAAAGTCACCTTTGAATATTTTTTCTTAACATATTTTCTTGAGAAAATATGCAGAAAATATGCAAAGTTTTTACTTGTAGAGCAACATTATGAAAAGTGATGGTGAAAAGTAAGTACCAGCAACCAATCTGTTGTTTAATTGATTTATAGGGGAAAAATAGAGATAAAAAGAAGACTATTTCCTAAATTATTTGAAATGCAAAAGTATTTTACTTGGAGTTAAATGGGTAAATATATTAAATATTGTCAACAGCTGCAGGGAGAAATCATTGCTGAGGCTATAAGCAGCTTAATAAAGCTGTTTGCATACTTATGGACTCTGATAGCATAATTTTACTGCAGTTGTTTGCTTTCATAAACTCCCAGTATTTTTGATATGTGCTTTAATAAGGCTCGTGTTTTACTACCAGTTTAGAAAAGCCTGCCAGCTGCTTCCAGGTGAGGGACGATGTAACTCTGACATTTAAAAGCTGGTGGACATGTTTGCATATTTAACTTAATACAAGTTGCACGTCCCTCTATCCAAAGATTTTCCCTGTTTCTGTGCGTTTACCACAGTACAGAGACTAACCTTGATAAAGTGTTCAGTGACATCTGCATAAATATGGACTGTATAGAACCATAGTGCTGGTTCATTCAACACTGTTGACCATGGTAAATTATTAAAGTAACTGCAGAACTGGGTTGAGCTCTCTCGTACGGTGCTTGACTGGTTCGAGTTTTACTTAAAGAACATTTACTCCTTTGTGTTAAAAGGTAACTTTTCATTGGAGCTGATAAAAATCACACTTGGGATGCCTCAAGGATCCATTTTGGGGCCAGTCTTATTTAATTATCTACATGCCACTAGCTCAGATTATAACAAATAATAAAAGTTAACATAACTTGTCTTTTGACAATAAACCCACATGAACCCATGCATAGAGGAAATAATGCTTGAATGTGCTACAACTTTATTCAGTTAAATAAAAACAACACTTTTGAACACTTTGGTTCAAAAGTAATAATTTTGAACCAAAAGAGGAACCATACAGAGTTGGCCGACAACCTTTCAAAATAAAAGCAAATCATAAATCTTCCTACTAGCTGAAAAATATTTGTAATCAAAACAAATGTGCAGAAAACTTTTGACAAAAACTGTGACGTTTTGCTTGGATGAAACCTTTACGCAAAGATGGCACAATTTGTCATACTTGAGAATATGCTGGTCAGTGGCATTCGTCAAATACTTTTCATATTTTCCATATCAGATGCAATTTACAAAACATTTCATATTGAGCACTGTAACCATGCTGTTTCCTCAAAACATGTACAATTTTCATTAAAACTGAAATAATGACATCTCATTTTCTTTCTCCAGTCATCCAGAAAACGGGCATAAAAGATAGGCTGCGTTGTTCCTGGGAGATGATTCAAGCACGACGCAGGTACCAAGCAAAGACTAATTATAGGTCGAGTTTAAACCCAGGAGAGGAGCTTATTGAGCCGTTTGCCCATTACTCTGAGCAGCAGGAACGTGTCCTGTTGACATTTTCCATATTCTCTTCCTATGCTACTATTTTTCCTCCTTTTCTATTCAACACACTCTGGCGTTTTGGTTACAAGTGCTTGAAGAGGTAATCTTAAAAATAAATTATGTAATGGAAAACCTTGGCTAATTGTGCCACTTGGGGCTTTACTCCAAGAGATTTCTCAGATATTGCTGTCAAGGGAGCAACTACACTTGTCAGAACCTGAGGTGAGGACATGCGGGAGGTGGAGAAGATGGAAAATACTATGTTAACTGGAAGGTGTATAACAGAAATATAAGAAAAAAATATATATATGTGGACTTTCAAAGCCTGTGCTTTGTGGTAAAATTCACAGAGGGAGAATAAAATTTACCTAACATCAATTCTTACTCTCTAGCATGAGTACCTTAGTTTTCTGTAAAAACATTTATTTTATGTTTTTAGATCACTAAAAAATGTCTGTATCAGAACTTTACTCATTATCACAGTTTAGCTGCTTCAGTGGATGGTAATTTAGTCGCAAAGGCCTGAATACTGGAGGTTTGTTTTGTATTTTGTGACTCATTCTAATGGGCCAGAGCTGCCCTTACATCAAACTATAAAACTCCATGTTGAAAATGACTGGATTTCAGAATGATTTGGTAAGTTTTAACAAACTCTGCTGGCTCTGTGTTTCCTAAACCCACACTATTTCTGCTAAAGCTACAAATGAGTAGGTGGGAGTAAGTGAACATTTTAAGATAATTTCAAAACTACTTATGAGATTTTTCTTTTAGGAAAAAGTAAAGACAGCTTCCCTCTTAGATTTTTTAAGCATATTCCTACATTGAACAGACCTGACTACATTTTATTAATACAATTTATCAATACATTTACAATAAATGTGATGTGAGTTGGTGTGCTTACAATGAAACATTTTACTGTCACATGAAGCCAACTGTATATCTACATAATCATTTTCTCTTTCAAATTTGTGTGTATGAATTTAGACTGTTAAGAAATGTAAAATCTAGAAATATTGAGATGTCATGTCATCAAAATACAATTCTTAAGAAGGACCTTTTTTATATTCCCTTACTCAGCTCATGCATAAAATATTTACCAGCTGCTCTTTGCAAACAGTGCTGACTTGCAGCAGCTGCTCTCTTCTGCACATGTGTTTGTATAAAGTTTGTATTAGAAACATAAGAATCTGTTTAAAAAACATTGTAGAATTTAGTAAGCATACTGCTATCCATCATAAATCCTTGATGATTTCCATATACTCTTGTTGGCTGCTTTTGATCTCGGGGACTTTCTATGAATAAGCAGATGTAAAGATTCTAAGATGTATGCAGATGCTTGATTATTAAAAGCCCAATAAATGAGAACCAGATCTTTAAGTGTACTGTGGAGTGGATGGGGGGCAACTGGAGATGAATGATGGCGGTGTGATGTGAGAAAACTTCTGTGATTTGGTCAAAAGTCTGCAAGGGTTTGCACAACCTGCTAATAGTCCAGTGATGTTTTGCTTAGGCAGGTGAATAATGAGCGCAGTTGTTAGATGCCACTTTATAGTAATTAAGAAGTATATTGCATTAGATGTAGGTGGAAAATACTGTGTAATGAATACTGTGTAAGCTGTTGCATAATGTTGTAATTGGAAGGTTTTTGCATAATAGTTTGAATCATTGCCAAGTTGGCTTATATTAACTACTTCAATGAACCGTTTAGCTTATGATTCATAACTTCTATTATTTGACTATTAAGCCCACTAGTTGACATTAATATGAACTGGGTCAGTCAGCTTCTACGTAACTTTAAAAGTTAATCAAATCAGACATATGAATGATAATTCGCAGCAAAACTATTCAAGCTATGTCTGCCATTCTACTAACTTCTTTGTAATACATCAGAAAAGTCCTGGTAAATAATTTCATGTGTAGTTGTTTAGTTGGTTGAGTTAGACTAATAATTACAAGTTTGTTGGGAATAAGCCTCCCTTTACCCTGACATAAATCCATGCCACAGCATATAAAAATCAGACAAAGCATTGATTGTTCTCGTCAGGGTCATGGAGAGATCTTCAAAGGATACAGTAACAAACTGAAGCGTTTCTCATTACGTGTGGCAGAAGCTGAGAGCTTCCTGACTGTTTTGAGCATTCACAAGATTTCTGTGGTGGTTCACTAGTGAAAAACGCGTCTTGATTTAAAGCAGGACTGGCCCCACTGTCCTTAAGAAAAGGCTTCAACAATCACAAAACCTCAGCATGTCAAATCATGAATGGCTGCACATGGATAAAATATGCACGATTCCAAACTGCGTATGTAGGTTGATTGCTGAGAGCTAAACTGAATGTGTGCGTCTTTCAGCAGCCCAAGAAGTAGCTGTTACAATGTTGAGGATGAGACCTGGCTTTCCCTGGTGAGAACTGAAGAGCAGGACGAGAACAAAGTACCAACCGCAGGATGAGGAGTCTGTAATGTAATTATATTTAAGAGACAACCCATAAAAGCAGCTTCCAATTCTTGAGCTTTGAAGCAATCAGCTCATAGAGATCTGTAAAAAAACATACAACTGCTTTTTAATGTTTTGTGCAGGATCTCTTCTGACTGGAGTCATTAAAATTTGCTTGTAGTTCGAAATTATTGAAGAAAATAGCACAGCGCTCGCTGCAGTGCACAGACCTCAGATAACGCTTCTCACTGGCATCTTCTAAGGCTGGTGGTAAATTGTTTTTAAGAAAGACAGTTTTCTGTTTCTGAAACTGATGGTAGAACATTCCCTTTTCTTCTTCTCCTATTTTTGTATCTTGAAATAGCCATACCATTTTGTTTGAGAAAGTTTCACATCAACAAAAAGTATTTGTGGGATCAGGGTCCTTTTGGTAGTTTTTGTTGTCATAATGATTTAAAAAAAAAAGGAAAAATACTTTTGATATTAATGGCCTCACTGAACTACAATAAATTAATGTTATTTTATGAGCACAACTATAGATGCTGAAAGAAATGTTTCTCTGTTGCTCTTTAAAAAGTATGTTAAAAATCTAAATTATATGCAGATTATTACCCTCCTTTTGCTGTATTCTGTATTTATTGTAAATAATCTTTTCTAGGTTGTCAGATTTAGCTGTGGTTAGCAGCTCCTAGTTAAAAACCTAACAAAAATAGGCTTAACTTTTTGTCCTTTTAGCATTTACAATATGACAAACAGTGACTAACTATCAAGAGCTGAATATGAGTTTTAAGTTATGAAACCACTTTTTTGTATTTTCTTACTTAAACAATGACTGGTAAAATTGTTTCAGATGCTTTTAAACTTATAAATAAATATACATATAAGATTTGCCACAAATATCTAGACATAGATATTCATACCTACACAGCAGCACTCCCACACTGCACAGAAACAAACAAACAAGCAAGCACAGCACACAAGAATCTATTTTGGCATCTGGAAACTCCATCCTGCTAGACATTTATAAAAGCAAATATCCTGCAATATTTAGAACAGAGAGAACTCAGCCTGAAGCACAATGATATACTATTATGCATAGCATTTAGAAAATGCTTTCACATACTTTGATTAGCTGCTTATGAGGTGTAAAACTCATAAAGCTTTAACTGACCTCATTAGGAACGGGACAAGAAGCTTGGCCAGCACCTCCCATGAATCCTTTATGCTGCACTCAGTATACCACACAATACATTTTAAGAAGGACATCATGATTTCTTAATGCCTAATTGGAAAAGATAAAATATCATAAGGATTACTGCAACAAATTGACCCCACTTTTGCTGTCCATTAGATCATTTATCCACTGAGTAAATGCAGAAATGTAAAGTGTTTTATACCCCATAGAGCAGCTGGAAAATATAATTATAGTCACTCTTTTGTTAGGTACAACAGTCATAAGCCTCAAGTAATGAGTTAGCAGACAGTGGAGGTCAGCTGTAGGACACGCTAAGCTTTGCCAATGTTTCAGTGTCACCAACACATGAAGACGTCCCACTTAAAGGCGGGGGGTTCTGGAATGGATCTGCCCACCTTGGTAGTCACTGTGAGGAGGGGCTTCCCTTCTGATGACGCCTTACTTGGTATCTCCTTCAGGACCATGGCAACAGTCTTATCTGCAGCCCTAGAGTCTTTCCCCTACAACAGTGAAATCAACAATGACTTTTGTCAGGACAGTTAGACAACTTTTTGCCCCCATCGAGGGAACATAAAAAAAAAAACACCGTATGATATGTGTGAGGCTGTCTAACGACAAAAACATCAATATTTCCACATCACTATGGCAATGAGAAGCATCACTGCACAATGTAGACATTTGACTGCATATACAGATGAGTATGGTTGTCCAATACTTTTTCCAATTTAAGATGGGAAAGTATTATACAGAGTCCAAACTACAGCTGGTAACATGGATAAATTACAACTCTAATAGATGTATGACAGGATAATCATGGTGCTTGTCATAAATCTACAAGAACAGAACAGTATTGAGAACAGAAAATTACCTGATATCCCCATATGTTTTTCCCTTTGTTAATTCATTTTATGTAGAATAGAGCCAAAATCTATTCTAAATCTATTTTTTTAGTTGTTGAATACCATATTTGGCCTTTGGGTGTTTGATTGTGACAGTACATCATACAATTCTTACTTGCATAAATAGAGGACAAAATAAGTAATGTACTAGTGGATTCAATACATCTGTACGATGACACTAAACTGTTTAAATCAGACTTTGCTACTGAGTATTTAATTTGACGATACTAATGTTTGGACAAAACGTAATTGGACTTTTCTGCTAAAAATTTGGTGACACTTCATGGTCCACAGCTAATAGCCTGAACCGTCTCTCTTAAGGCTTTTGAATGTTGTAAGTGGAAGTTTTAAATGATGATAATACACTCATCTGCAGCCACACAAGTCACATAATAGAACACAGTTTTTGTTAGTTTTTTCATCAATTCTTACCCCAATTCTGTCCTTAAATTGCTATTTTCATCCCCACCACAACCCATGTAAAGCATTACATATACACATATACATTTATTTCTATATGTAGTTACATGATAGTTAGATGGATAATCACGAAAAGGCAAATATATTATTTCAATTGTTTGGTTCCACTGCTTCATCTGAAATGTCTGAGACTAGTGGAGTCACTAGCAGATAACTACAAGAAAAACGGAAAAATAAAAAAATGTTGTTCAGGACTCTTTAACTTAATGTTTTTACTCTGCAAAGCTCTCAGTTCAGACCATGAAATACTCTGCAAGCAAATCTTATTAGGGGTTTTCACATTTCAGCTTGTAAGAAAAATAAATTAGGTTCTTCGTCTACTGATTTCCTCAGCTGATCAAGTGACAAAATGCATGAGCCGAGCCCAGAGGGAGACTTTCCTCAAAAGCCTAATACTCTTGATAAAGCACCTGCTCCCTCTCTCTGGCTTGAACTCACTCGTATAAATCAACAGCACGGCTCGTTGAGATGTAGCCAGAAGCGAAGCGGCAATTGAGCCACCAGAGATTCAGGCAACACAAACATTTGTTCCTGGAGGTTTTAGTCTGAAATGCAAATTATGCAGTTTTTGATTCGTCAGATTTTCGTTTCGTGTCAAATGTTCAGGGCTTGCATAAACTGGGAAAACGTCCAACAAATACTTTGTTTACTCATATTCTTCCATGTTGCAGTGCTTGGAGGAACAGATTTGCTTTAAATTTTTTTCTCATTCCAAAGCAAATTGAGCAACAACCTTAAAATGTAGCATCTCTTAGGTTCTCTATTAAATCTAATTTAGATTCTGCTTATCTCACATAGTTTTACCAAGAACAGTAAGTATTTTTAATAATAATTCAAAACATGCTATTCTTTTTACATTGCTAATCTTGAGTGCATTCAAACTTAATTTAGTTCCTTTACATGGAATGACATACACGTCTGAAACAGGATATTTGTAGACTCTGTGTAAAATGACAACATTTTTTGTTAAATGCATTTCACACACACACACACACACACACACACACACACACACACACACACACACACACACACACACACACATATATCAATTTGTAAATTTGTAAAAGCTCAGATCCATGACTTTAAGATTTCTTATAGATTAATTCCCAACATTTGAGGTATTTGTGGGGACATCTAATAATATACTTTAAGGTGAAAATACAGATGCACTGCTTCTCTCTTCTGTTGGATCAAAGAAAATCAAAAGGAATCAGGAAAGAAATAAGGAAATTAAATGTAGACCTCCACAACTAAGATTCATCCTTGGATACGACATTTAAAACCCTGAAGGTTCCATGCTTTTGTATTCAAACAAATACTTAGTATAACCACTTTGTTCAGATAACAAAAAAAAAAAAAAACCTGTCTACAGTGAAATGAGTCATAAAAAATCACAGAGAGAGGGAGATGCCATTACGACAAAAGCAGCAGAACAAAGACGTAGTATAACTTGCAAATGCACAGGGGGACGACTACAGGGGAGACATGTTCTGCAGTCTGATTAAATAAAATTGTTTGGCCATAATGACAATCGTTACTTTTAGAGGAAATAAGGGGAAGTTTGCAAGCCTGAGGACAATATCTCAACTTTAAAGTACCAGGGTTGTATTCTTCACAGCCCAAAGCCGTGGGGTTGTTTTGCTGTAGGAGGGAGTGATCCCATTTACAAAATTAATCATACCACGGCAATATTGATGCCACATCAGCCAAGAAGTTAAAGTTGGGCACAAATGGACCTTCCAAGGCACAAAATAAGTTACTTGGTGGAAGAATAATCAAGATAGAGGTGTTTTACAAAGTATTAAACAAGTTCCTCTGAAACTGTCAACACTATACCATCTTCTTCCTAAGACATAAAAGAAGGTTTAATTTATTTTAATGAAAACCCATTTGTTTCAACAACAACAACAGCATAACCTAATCCACCAGAGCAGAACCTGAAATGACTTGCAGCTTTTGCTAATCCAGACCATTGGGTGAGGGACATATCCACCTGAATATGCAGCTCTAGCCAAGGGATTTGATTTCCTCATGTTTCCACAAGAACTGAAGACTGTATGACTTTCACTGAATTGGAGCAACATCTCAAACAAGAGGCAGAGAAACTTAATATCAAAGTTTCAGCAACTCTCTCTAACACCAAGCCTCCTCCCTCTGACCTCATGCACCTCAAAACGAAGGCACAGTCATTCCCCACAAGGACCACTACATCACTGTTTTGCCTGCAGACATGTGGAGGTGTTCAGTGATCCTTAGGTCGTTTGTCACTGAATAGAGACATGCTACCTAAAAACCAAAAAAAAAAAAAAAAGACAATGAATGATTGGTAGTTAACACCCTACATCACTTAAATGACTTCCTTTTGAACACAGCAATGTGGACCTGCTGGTCAAGGAAAATAGATGATTCAAGAGAGAAGAGGAAGAATCTCTGTACAACAAACATAAAACAAGCAGCGTGGTGACCTTAGGTTCTGACTTTCTAAAAACTAGAGACCAACTTTGACTTATTTCACCTGGTGGTTAGACAACTATAGGAACATGTGATCAAAACACCTCATGCTGGCATCGTTGGGAAGCATTTCACAAACATTGAACCAAATGAAGTATTGAGTCGGTGACTCATGTGACCTTCGCAGAGTAATAATTCTGACTGCAACTTTTAATCCTGATAACCCATGATCAGAACTAAAGACACTTTTTGGATGAGAGGTGAATCCTCTTCAAGAAACAAGAGGAGAAGTCCAACTAACTTTATTTTAAGTGCTTACATAAATGCAGCATACCTCGGTTCTTTGTCTCTCGACTTCACAGGGAAGCTACAAACAGCTTGGTCCCTCCAGGCAAACAGAAAATTGATCAGCATGAGGGATGAACTTATACTCTGTGGACTAGAGTGGCAGATACTGCCACGGGTGAGCTGAAATACTGTGGAAAATAACAATAAACAGGATATAGGGGCGACTACTAGCGCATCCCATCTCATTCAAAGAGAGAGTTTTCTACACTGCAACAGAAAAGTCACAAGTTCGTCTCTGTCTGATCTTCTTGATATTAAATTAAAAATTACAGAACATTTTTAAACCTCAATTTGCAAAGAAAGTAAGAAACATGTTAAATTTTGTGAATTCAGGTTCTAGTCACACACTCACAGCTGATGCACAAAGAATTTAATAGAAAACTGAACTTGCTGTGCTGTTAATTTTCTAGTTAAGATCAGTTGTTCCTGATGAATATATTTGTTTCATTTTATTGCTACTGTTTCCACTGTAGTGACTCAAAGAGAGTTTGGTTCTTATAATGAATCAGCAGTAAACAAAACAGGAATCTACAGCCTGACATACTTGAAAAAGAGCAGAAATAAGTTTGTGGGAGGAGCGGCTTACATCACGATGCACATTGATCGCCCTGGACTACAATGCGCGAAGCCTTTGCAGCGACATCAGGCAAAAATCTGCGGATTTCTTTGTTGATGGCAGTTATTACAAAGCATGCTCCAAATTAAACTGCAGCTGAGGGACATTTATATCCCTGTGCAAATAACTGGCCTCACTCTAAGGCTTGTCTGTAGAGGATACATTTATTAGACACTCATGTTTTCTGGGTGGTTTATAAGAACTGAAACGTAATCTCCAACTTCCCACGATAAATCTCAGCTACGGACATGATGAAGCTTTGAAACTTAAAACGCTTTAAAGACTAAAAAATGTTATTTGAGTTTTCAATTAAATACCTTTCGGTGCTTGGGGCGAAATGAACTATTCAATTGCAATTACTGTAATGTGCTTAAATGAAAAGCCTGAAGCATGGAGGTTTTATTCCATGGTTATCTAATTACATCCAGGAAAAGAGTACAGATCAGGCTTTTGGACTATTTAAACAGATCAAATGGTTCAGCAAAACTGTTTCTCTATCATGCAGCAGAACATAAGAGACAATATTCAGCACAACTTGGCTACAATGGAAGAAGTGATGTGTGGCATCAATCTTCTTAGAATGCATTTGGCTGGATCAAATAGTCAATTTCTCTCACAGCCGGAGCTTTGGTCATTTCAAAATGTTTCAGCTTTTTTGTGTTTGCGCAGCCTTTCATGGGCAGATTGCTCGGACAGCAGCATT